TGGCCAAGGAACGCCTTGAGGTCCTACGGGAGGAGCTGGCGAAGGTGGCCGTGGAGAGGACGGTCTGGAACTCCCTAGTTGAGATGCTGCACCTGCGACCCAGACCCGGATAGGCGAAAGAAGATGAGGCGAGTATTTACAGTTAGACCCTCTTCTGGGCTCAGAATCAGCTGCTTGACTTTACACAGTCCCAGCCTCGCCTTGCCAAGCAGACTTTTTACCGCAACGGTGCCCCCTATTGGCTAGTAGATGTAAACATAAACCCTGTCGTGCCCGTGAAAATAAAAATGTCATTATTTATCTTTGAAATATAGCTTTAACTGGAGAAACTGTACATTCATTCTGCACACCTCTAAACGCCCCGGGGAGGTATTATGTTTAAAAATATAGCTTTTTATTAAAAATGTTTCATATTGCACCTTTAAGATGAATGACATCTCAATAGTGCCAATGAAAATATTTAATCATATACTGTGCCTACCTTTGCTCTCTACGGTTTAAAATAGCATGATATGGAACATTTAAAATAATAAAAAGGAATATAATCAAGAGCAAAGAATATATGAAACAAATGACATGCCTATATACCGCACTTCACTTCAAATAAGTCCGCAAATACAAATATTTACATAAGTGCTTCAAATTGCCATTAAAAGTACCTCAAAATGTCAAATCTAATGTGATTTTACTGTTTTTGTCATCCAGACTTTGAGATGAATCTGCATACAATGTGGATCCAACAGAAACAAAGATCTGGGCTGTCAGTCTGCAAAAGACACAAAATCCCCCAAACACCACTCAAAGGAACATCTGCAGGACTGAATTCTTTCTGCCGTCTCATCTGCCACCACATTCCCCATCTCCTCTAAAGATCTTAAAGCTCATGAAAAAAGAGACATAAATCTTATCTGCCATCTGGAGTATCTCTGAGGAACGCTCAGTGCATAATTTGTACAGTCTGTTGGCTTTTTTTAGGTGCGTTACTGTCAGAAAAAACAATGGAAAGTAAACTGGATAAGGCTGGAAACTTATAGTGTCACACTCCAAAAGGTGCATATTGTACGTGGTGCATTCACATATCAAATATGCATTGGCTTGTCAATACCAATGTGCACTTTATGAACATTGCAATAGGACTGCTCAGGCTCCATATGCTGCACGTTCACTGTCTGACCACCAACATCATACCTGGTGCATTAAATGGACTCTCTGCTATTTACTGCAAACCTGGTTTAGATGATAGCACGGTCACCCCTGGCCCAATCCGGGCCCTGATAGGAATACTTTTTTCTCGGTATCAGATTCCTCGCCTCATTTTTGTTTTCTCCTGCGGGCAGGAGATGCTCTACGCGCAGCACGCCTCATGGCAGCGATGCGCAGCCTAATGGGCTCGACACACGGGAGGCGACATCGCCTCTCCTCCATTCATTTTCAATGAGACATGCGCGACAAAGCGATAATCGCGGGTCTCCCTCCTACCAAGCGAAACGCAAAAAACGGGCGTGTCAAATTTTGCGCTCGTGCACGTGTCGTGCACAGGCGACCCAGCGACGCGATCCCAGAAAGTTGAAACATTTTCAACTTTTCATCGCTGTCGCTCGGACGAGGACCAATCAACGGAGGTTTCATTCACTGACCAATGAGCGGACAGGATGCTCCGTATACCTCCGAGCAAACATGGAGGAGAAGTTGATTATTATTATGTTTTATATAATAAAATCAGAAGTAAGATTTCACATAACTCTAGCAGCACCTTGTGAAACATCATACGTACCACTTTATTAACTCTGAACCTGATACAGCCAAACAAAACAACGAAAGTTTCAATTTTGCCACGGAACAGAACGCGTAGACGGTTTTGCCGCAGGCCGCTGCCGCAGATCGCCTCCTACGTGTCAGGTAATAAAAGCGACGGCGACAAATTTCGCTGATCGCGGTCGTTTGTCGCCTCCCGTGTGTCGAGCCCATTAGTGCACTTGAGCTAAATGGGCCCCCCTCTGAATCTCGGGGGGCTACACACAGTGTAGTTTCTACTTCTTTTTATCAGTAAGTAAATATATATTTCTGTATTTTATTATGCTGGTTGAATAGGGGGAAATGCTGTGCTGATGCGTCCGATGTGTCAACGCTTCAAAGTAGGGCTGGGCGATATGACGATTTTAGACCGTTTTACGATCTACACATCTGACGGTCTGTCATTTTTGAGAGACCGTTTTATCACGATTCACAGCTCTGCTGTTGAATTTCTGCCTCTGAATGAAAAGGGAACTTACCTCAGGCGAATGACACGCCTTTGTTTGACCCTTAACCAATCAGAGTGAGTAATATATTAGTGCCCCGCTTGTTTTCATTTGTGTGTGAACAAACATGGCTTCGCCGCGGCTGAGCGACACGTTCCGAAGAGGAACGCGCGGCGCTAACAACCGACGTGACATGTCTCGGAGAAAGCTTAAAAACACGTTGGACGCTTCTTCTGAAGCAGAAAAATAACACCGCTTCTTAAGCAGAGCACGACGTCACCTCGGCTCGTTCACCCTCTGCCGAGCCGGTGTCGGTACCGGACTGAGCTCGGTCACTGGGTCGCTGGAGCTGCGCCGTGACTGCCTGATGGAAAACCAGCGGGTTTCATCAGACTCGTAGTTTCTTGTTTTTGTTGGGGACCCCCTGTATTTTACCGCTCCCTCCTGCAGTCTTCCCCTATTAACATTTAAAATGATTCTGTAAACTCTGTGTATCAATAGAAACAATCTCTGCCTCTGCAGTAAATGTAGTTTGCAGATAATAAATAAGAGGTGCATTCATCTGTGTATCTCCTTTGATCCGCATTAGTGATATTCTCAGCACCAGAACAGTGAAGCAAAGAAAGATTCCTGAGTTTGTTAGTAATTTTATTTATTAGGTGCATCTAACCTGTTCTATTTTTCTCTGAAATGAGATCAAATCAGTGCTTCTATGGGTTGTCTCCAATCTGCACTGGAAAATTTTGCTTTATTTAGAGACTTGTTGCAGAAAATATTCAGAATGCGCAGTTTTTTGCTACCACAAGCGATCTCTGGTCCAGCCGCACATCAGAGCCGTATTTGAGCTTAACTATCCACTACATGAGCAACTAGGAGCTAGATAGTATTTTGAACAAGTTAATGTTTGCACAATACGTTTGCATTTGACATGTTTGCACTTTAAATATGTTTACCATTTTAATTTATGTTAAGTTACTAGAAAAACGAGAAAAACTGATTTTTGTAATTGTTTCTCTCAGGGCTTTTATCATCTCTGGTGTGAGTTTAAAATATAAGTGTGTTAGCTCTGTGCTGATTATCCCTAATATGAATAAATGTTTATTTATTCAATGTTTCTCTTCTTTAATATGCAATAGAAGTTATGCTATTCATGGATAAAAAATCGTGATAAAATCGAAATCGTGATAAAATATTGGAAAAATCGTGATATTCTATTTTTGCCATATCGCCCAGCCCTACTTCAAAGCGTGTGTGGGGTATCCAGGAAGACTTTTTCTCTGGCTCCCGGATAAGGGACCATCAACACCGGCGGACATGCAGATCTTTCACCGTGGCGGACCAACGAAGCGATATCCAAGGTCAGCTTCCCTAGTTAGGATTTAGTTAATAAGCAGGCAGGAGGTGCCTTTACTTTGGAGTAGCTTTAGCGTGTTTTTCTTGCTGAAAACAGCCAGAAAAACTCCCATCAGCTTTGAGTTAGCATGTAGCTAGTGTCCTGCTCATCTCCAACTGTGGAGCAAAAGCTGATGTAAAAGGCCACGGCGCCCGGCTACGATTGCAGCGGTCTGAGTCTCCGCTTGTAATTCGACAGTCTCAGTCCATATTAGATCTCCACAGGCGATCAGCATGACTACAGCCTCCCACGGGAGCCAGTCCGCCGCGCGGGTGGGATATCCCAGTCTAAGGAGCCATTGTTAGCTTTTTGGGTTAGCCAAGTTAGCTAGTGGCTACACTGGTTCATTTGTTCCAACCCTGTTCCAAACAAGCCCCACCCTTAGCTCCACCGCTTTTCCCATTTTTGGATTGTCTGGGCGTGACGGGACCTGTGACACGGTCAAAATGGCGGTGGTGGGAACCTCCCATTTTGGCACAGAAACTTATAATTCGAGCCTATGGACACGAATTGTCCAGGATATATGTCGATAGTTAGCACGCACAGACCTAACAACGCAGCTGGTGCACATATTGTAAAAATAATCATGTCCCGCTTTAGTTTTTTTGAAAAGAGAAAAACTGAAAACCCTCCAGCCGGCTGAGAAGGCAATCTGTTTCAATGCAAATGATAAATGACCGACACTTGTATAGCGCTTTCAGATTCAGAGGACTCCAAAGCGCTTTACACTACAGTGTATCATTCATCCATTCACACACACATTCACACATTGATGATGATGAGCTACAATGTAGCCACAGCTGCCCTGGGGTGCACTGACAAAAGGCAAGACTGCAACATGACTGAGGCATTAGACTGTTTAGTGATGAATTCACTGTAAAAATCCTACTTATTGCATCTTTAATGTGAGCTAGCTTACAAATCACCACCCTGATCCAAATGAGAGGCAAAAACAAGTGAAGAAGTCCAGATGTCTTTTTTCCAAACCTGCTGGTGACACACGTGGGAAGGGATTCTGACTCCAGGGCAACTTTAGAAATAAGAGAAAATGCTGATTTTTCACTATTTACACACAATTTATCCATTTATATCAATATTATTGTGGATGATAGGTTCTGTACGGCTTCAATAAGTCACTTTAAACACAAAAAATGGTTTAAAATGTTTTACTTAAATATTGATTCGTTAAAATATCTGTTCTGTGTTACATCTGGTAGCTATCAAACAACCAATATGGTGTCTGAGCATTATGAGTGAAGCCAGTGTTCGTGCTACTTCACATCTAATGAGATTTTCTGAAGGAGATGTGAAGGATCTGCAGCCGAAGAGAGGAGAACCATCAGCAGCATAAAGGAAACCTCAAGTACCTGTGAGGTCATCCCACACCAGAAGTTGGAGTACGCAGCTCTGGACTCCATCATGGGAGCAACGATGGTCTTGTTCTCCTTCATCAGCTTCCACAGCACATCCCGACTGGTGAGCAGGTTGTCACAGTCCACCATCTGGAGATGGGAGAGCAGAGCTAAATATTTACAATCCTGCATGAGCATACACACACCAGAACACACACACGCACAGTGTCACCCAGGGCTTTTAGATGCCTGGATCAGCTCACAGCAACATGTGCTGCACACAGATGCATCCTGGACCTTCTCATCCTTTAGTTCTCATAAACAAGCCATACAGGATGCTCTTCTTTGTAGAAACAATTTACATTGAAACGGGGTTTCCTTTTAATTGTATAGCAAACATAAAAGTAAAGTAGAAAGAGTCAGCTGGGAATCAAACAGCTGCTAAAGGCATTTTAGTTTATGAGCTAAATTACATCCCAACCATCTGGTGGTCAGGTAAAACACCCATGTTAACAGGGTTTTCAGCAGTAAATGTTTTTTAGAAAGTTTTTTTCTGTCTCCATTTAGAGCCGAGAGTTCATCACTAGGGCTGTTGGGTCGTGAAGAATCAACACATTCTCACACCCAAGCCGTCAAAATATGACGCGTGACGAAGCGTCAATATTTGACGATTCGGGACGCCCCAGCGTGTCAGGAGACGACAATCAGGGACACGCTGGGTCACGTGGCACCACTGGCGTCACTGTTTGACGCGCGCGGTCACGTGGACATTATTCGACTATTTAACCCCAATCCTAACCTTAAGGTCCATAAACTGTGACCTTAAGGTTAGGATTGGGGTGAGGGGAAGGTTAAGTAGTTCACAAGTAGTTCTAATGTCCGTCTCACCACCGGCGTCAGATACCGACGCTCTGAGACGCTGCGTCAGCTGTTTGTCCCTGATCGTCGTCTCCTGACGCGCTGGGACGTCCCGAATCGTCAAAGATTGACGCTTGGTCACACGCGCCATATTTTGACGCCTTGGGTGTGAGAATGTGTTGGAAGAATAAGGGCGGGAACATAGTTGCTTTTTAACCTGGCGCTGGCAGCAGGCTGTGTATTTGTTCAAATACTTGCTGCTGCACTGCATGTAGTACTGGAGGATTGAGCTCGGGGGCACAGAAGAGAACTCAGACCAGAAAAAGAGCTAGGTTTGTGGGGTACAACCAAAGCAAATGTCAGTAGAGATCAGTAACTAGTTAACATTGACAGAAAAAAAAAACAGCATCTGTATCATAAATAGTGTGAAAAACCTCTAAACAAGAGACGGAGTGGGTAAGTGTGTCTTGCCCCCAAATTCCACTACCTCCGCTCCGCTCCGCTGCGGTCCGCCCCTGCCTTCCGCAGCCGCTCGCTTCCGAACTCAATTTTTACTGGTACGCGCTCTACAACGGCTCCGCTCCGGTGCGGAGACCTGAGGTGGGCAAACAGGCATGCGCGGGATTTTCAAGATCTTGCGATACAGTCAGAGCAATAAACGCGGACGTTAGATCCAAACACCCGTTGTGTGGGAGAAGCATCGGCATGAGCTGTTTAATCTGCCCATCATGTGTGTTGAGAGATCAGCAGTGTTTGGATCAACAAAGTGTGACTGCTTTGATAGTAGAAACTGTATTTATGGCTTATTTTTGTGCATTTAAACTTCAGCCGCCATTGATAGTTGTTAAAAGTTGTTAAACCTGTGCATATGAAACAAAAAACGCCTTTTGTTTATCGATTTATTGTGAAAAACGGAAGTTGTGCTTGCTCCTTTTCCTGTTGGACGGTTGTGATTTCTGTCCATTTACTGCGGAGGTGCTCCGGCGTCCGGCGAAAATAGGATCGATTCTATTTTTGCCGGACGCCGGAACAGAGGGCGGCGCACGGCGCCGCACTGCCGGAGCACGGCCGCAGTAGTGGAATTGCTCTGATTGACTACAACGGGACCGATTTTGCTCTGGCGTTCGTGTCGGAGCGGAGGTAGTGGAATTTGGGGGTTACTCATTTTGTCAACTCCACCTTCTGGTTATTTGTATATTGCAGCGTTCAGATGCGTTGTGTTACTTTCGTGGGACACTAACAAACCACGCTACAAATCTAAGCAATTCACGCATGGCAGCCATTTTAAACGTGTACGTATTGCTAAACAGCAAGTATTTTCTTGCCATAACTACGTGGACGTACACACATGCACAAGCGATTGTATTAGTAGAGCAGCCATGTATCGATGCAGTTTAGGGATCAAGTCTAGTTTCAATGTTTTATTGTATCCTAAAACCAATTACATTTGATCCATTGACCTATTAGATGTTTTTAGAAAATTCACTCATGAAAAAACTGCAGAAAAAGCTAAAAGAATCAGTCGGTAGTCGAAATCAGCAATAAATCACTAAGACCAGTTTTAAAGTCACACACTTTAGGATACAGCTTAAACAAATTAGCTTATAACATTTTCTTTAGCATGTGAATGTGTGTGTGAATGGGTGGATGACTGATTGTATTGTGAAGCGCCTTGGGGGGCTGTAAAACCCTAGAAAGCACCAGAAAACCAACTCTACAAAAGTGGTTCAGAAGGTCGTATCTGTTATTTCGGTGTGAAACTCTTCTTCTGCCTCCATCTCTGCTGTTTACTGACACCTAATGGCAGTTCTTTCATCCAGCACTCGTTTTGTTGTTTGGACATCACAACACCAACACCACAGGAGCCATTTTTAACACACCAGGAGGTAGTCAGCCCAGATCTCACGGGCAGTGTCCAGCGCTGCCTGACGGAGCTTCATTACATATTCGTATCGGAGGTTGTTCCAGTGCTTTGGCCCCGCCTCCTCCACAAAAGCTCTGCATGCAGGGAAAGACGCACATTAAGGCTCATTCCACATCTTCAAAGTCAAACACACACACAGCTACACACCTGGATTCTTCATCAGGTCGCCACTCCACATAGTGATAGTAATTCTGCACCTGGATGAGCCAGTCTCTAAGGATGGATGTGGTGTTATCGGTGTTGTGATCCGTCGCCACCCTGATGGAGGGTAAAAGACGAGACAACAAATGAACTAAATTTAAAAGAAGCTGATCTTGTGAAAAATCTTTCAGCAGGAAGGGCTGCAGAGGAGATCCACAAAACAGAAACCGAGTCATGTTATTTCAGGAATTATTCTCATCCTTGGGGAATCTGCATCGTATCTGGGACAATAACGCGGGGTTTTACTGTGGTGAGCGGAAACAACTGGTGAGTCACGGTTTTCCCAGAGGAGATGAGATTCCCCAAAATTGTTCCCACCCCTCCTGAAGCACACAATCCCACACACAAAACCACTATGAGAGTGTCAGAGCTGTTAAAAGTTCATACGCATAATAATCCTTTAAGAATAAGTTTCAGTCACATCTACGGAAACCAAAAATAACAATTAATTGCAAGCACACATTAGGCTTAAAACCTTTCTAAAGCTTTAAACATTCAATTATTTCAAGATCTTGTTTAAAGCCCTGTTTAGCAATAAAAGTATGATTCATTTTAGCTTCGTTATTATATCTTGTTTAGCAGAGCACATTATACCCTTGTATTAAAAGGCGTGAAATGTGTAATATCTTATGCAACACTCTGTTAAAGATCCAAGTGTTTACAGTTTACAAAAACACTCTTTTTACATTGATAAACATCCAATTAATGTCCTTCAATAAAATAGTTAATCCACAAGTCTGATGTCAACAATCCAACATAAATTGCTGCTGAAATTTCCCTCTGGGATTAATAAAGTATCTTTGAATTTAGGGCTGCACGAAATTAGGAAAACCTGCGATATTCGATAACAGTGCTTAATATTGCGATATCGATACTACTTGCGATAAATGAACAAATACTAAAGTATGCAGAGTTGATGTCATCTGGCGTGTGATGGCTGCTCTGGGTTCAAAGCAAACAAAAACTAATGCATGAATTTCATTACAACATAACATTTTATTGCAAAAATATGCAGCTGCACCTGCTACTGTATTAGCAGCTGCACCTGCTACTGTATTAGCAGGTGCACCTGCTACTGTATTAGCAGCTGCACCTGCTACTGTATTAGCAGCTGCACCTGCTACTGCATTAGCAGCTGCACCTGCTACTGCATTAGCAGCTGCACCTGCTACTGTATTAGCAGCTGCACCTGCTACTGCATTAGCAGCTGCACCTGCTACTGCATTAGCAGGTGCACCTGCTACTGTAATAGCAGCTGCACCTGCTACTGTATTAGCAGCTGCACCTGCTACTGCATTAGCAGCTGCACCTGCTACTGTATTAGCAGCAAAACAAACTGCATGCATGCAGTTTCTCAGTGACTTTAAAACATCACCTCCACCATAAAACTTTTTCTGATGCTCCAAATACAGAAAAACATCCCTTACCAGGGTTTTTTGAATAAATAAATAAAATCTGAAAATAAGTTTAAATGTTAAATAATAGTTAACATCACTTAAATGCAACAGCAAATTCTCTCATTGCTACTGAACATTTTCTCCACTTATGTGGTTATGATATAAGGCTGTTGCTGTAATTGGGAAGTGAACTGTGCTGGGCCAAACTAGGAGAATATTAAGATTTTCTGAGGGAAAGAGAAAAACAATTGTCTATCTTTCAGAAGAGGAACTGGCAAAAAAAAAAAAAAAAAAACTACATGGAAAATATGTGAAAACGTTTGTTTTTAACCCCAAATTGAACAAGTTTAGCTAGATCTTAACAAGCAGCTCAGATGATGAAACTGCAACTATGATTCTGATAACAAGCTAACAAATTAAACTAGCTCCTCTAAGATAACCAGCTAGCAGAGCTTCTGACTGACAGTTTATGTGCAGCAGCAAATCAACTATCCTGATTAACAAGGTTATAAAAGCTCATAAATGAAAAATCACTTTGATGTGTGGGGGAACTTTTCCAGGCCCTCTTTAGCAGGGTGGGACTGGGAGGAGAGTGCTGTAGCCTTTTAGCTGGAAGCTAACCGGAGCCTGGGGCTAACGGTGGGTTGGTTCACCGGCACGTGTCGGAGTCAGCCCGGTAAAAATGATCAACGACACCGAGCGGACTCACGTTCACGTTTGAAAGCAGCGCTGATTCCAGAAACCTCAGCACAAAGTGCGTTCGTTGCTCTGAGCCAGGAAGACGAACATGGGAACGGTGCAGCTAACTCTGTTCGGGTGTTGCTTTCCATCCTAAGGGTCTGCGTAGGGCGCGGGCGTATTACGTGAACGGGCCCATCTGATTGGCCGCATATCAGAAGGGCTACATTTGGTCAATAATACTTCCACGTAAAAAACAGAGCTGGTTTACAAAAAGTTGATGTATGACAGGGATGGAAATGTTGAACCAAACATTTATCGCCATTTTTGACGTGCTTTGCGACGGGCCTATTGCACGTCCTGTTATCCCGATGACGATAATTTTTCGATATATTGTGCTGCCCTATTTGAATTGAATTGAATTTGAAAACCTCAAATTTTGTGACAAGGGAACTGAGTGGAATGAAGCCCTCGTTAATATTCCCGTGCTTTCCCTTCTTTATAGGGTCAAGATGTCGTCGTGAAACGAGCATAAACAGACAGAATAGCTGCAAAGAATCAGAGCAGCAGTCATCTAATATCTGTGTTATCATAACAAATGCCAGAGTGTCAGGAAAAGGGCCTCGAGTGAAACGAAGTGTGAATATGACAGAAACGGATTGACTTCCAACCCCTTCGTGTTGAGTGACAGTCAGCGTGCCGCTGCTGCTAGTCTCCCATGCGTCCGCAGAGATTTAACACAGCAGTGCCATCTCAACACCTACATGATGAAACCAACTCACCCATCCATCTTCTCCCTCGCGGTTGCTGCTTCCCTTTTAAATCGCACTGGTGGACATTTCTAACCACTGAGTAGTTTTGCATGGCCAAAGGGAGTGAATTTAAAGTGTTTATGGTGAGTTAATATTTGGTATTGCAGAAGTATGCCTAATGTAAATGAGAGCCGAGAGGGAGAACACAGGGGGTGAAAAATTATTTATGTATTGGTAACATCTACTCTGCATGTCACTGCAGATCACACACACTCGCACATCATTAAGCAGCTGGCATGCTTGTGTCAGTGTGCTGCTGCTCAACAAATATTTCATTTCAACGTGTCACACTGATGTCTGCAGGTACCTGCAGGCTGCCAGTGACTCGCTTACATTGCATTGCAACATTCTAACACCAATACTTCCTATAAGGACAGATACAGACGTCAGAGCAGCAGGAAACAGGTCGCCACATTCGTATCATTAGAGATGAGCCCATGTGGATAAAAAGTTCACCATCTAGTCTGGTTTGACATGACTTTTGCAAAGTATTGAAAAGGTTTTTGGCTGATTTGGATGTATTTTTTGCCCGTTTTTACAGCTGAATGATGACCTCTGACCTTAAAGCAGCAATCTGGAGTTTTCCCTCTTTCAGGAATTATGTAGGATTTTGTAGAAATCTGTAAAAGTGATATCCAGTCTTATCCATTTTCATCTGCTTATCCGAGGTCAGGTCACGAGGGCAGTAGCCTAAAGCCTAGTTTATGCTTCTGCGTCGGAACGGTGATAGGCAACGCCATTATCCGTCCTTGCGAGGGCTCTCTAGCAGGCTTGCAAGGACGGACGGAGTTGAGCCCACTTTTCAAAACATTCGTCCAAAGAGATGGAGTATGCAAGCTTGTGATTGGTCAGGACACCACTGTCGTCAACAGCGCCGCCATCGCGCTTCCATAAAAGTAAAGAGAGCCAGCACCAGACACGGATCAGCTTGAAAAATGCCTTGCAGAAAAGCTAGTATGAATGTTTTATTCACCCGTGACTAGCACAGTTTTATTATTAAATTATTATTTTACTGTCTATATCATTTTATTTATTACTTATTTTCTAATTTTTGTCATTTATATTAGCTCTTTTATTATATTTTTACTCATTTTAATCCAGTGTTTCCTCTGTGGGGGCCCTCTGCCCCGGGAGCGGTGGTCGACTGTAGCTTCCTGGGCGCTCTATAGGTGGGGGTCTATGCTCCCCCTCCACTGAGCGCCCTGACTTAGTGTGGAAGACCTGATGCTGCCGGGGTAGGGCTGTAGCGAAGCCTCGACGAAGTCGACGGCTCGATTCTAAAAATTTGTCGACGTCAGATCCGGAAGTCGACGCACCGCGCCCACTTGTTGCATCCCCAGGAGTTTGTAAATCGAGGAGGAATCTGCCTGTTTTTCCTCTAGTTCGCCCTCTTCTCCGCCTTCACTAACATCTCCGCCAAATACCGAAGACCCGGAACAACGTCTGTCCTCTACTAGATTTCTTTCCTGTTTTGCCCGCCTTCGTCTCCCAGCAACGGACAACAACTTCCGGGGTCAGATGCGCTGCTTCGTCTCTACCGCAGATGTAGAACATCACCGGGAGCGTTTCTCCCTTCATTAAGGAGCTTCTTTCAGACATGAGGAGAGCTGTTTTGGTGGTAGCAGTCTCTCCTCCGTGCTGGTCTGTTTGCTGCTGGGTGTTTTTGGTTTATTTAAACTTGGTAACTTGAACTTAACGTTGGTAAAGCTACAGTTAGCATCTTCGCTAACAGCTTCTTGCGTTGGGATAAGCTGTTACGTTTTGGTTTAGAGTTCATCTTTTTTGTGGTGTAGATCTCCCTTTTATTACATTTAGAGTGTTGTGGGTTTTCGGTTTAGTGTAAAATATCACCTGAGTTTGGTTTAACCCGTAAGACCACTCGCCTCACGCACATAAGTGACCAAAACAAAGCAGCATGGAGACACTCCATCTTCTACCACCTCTCAGGCAGCAGCCTGCACTCCCAAGTTCTACACGTCACCAGAACATAACCAACCAACACAATAAACGCAGTGTTATACAAAATGGAAGGCCTGTAGTGTTTATTCTCTTACAGTAACAATTTATCAATTTTTTTGAGGAATTTATTTGAGATTTTCTGGTTTTTGTTAATTGTGCAATAGAAAAATAATCATTAGATTAATTTTCTAAATAGTCATTAGAATAGTCGACTATTCGATAAAATAATCGTCAGAATAATCGTTTTAAAAATAATCGTTTACCCCCAGCCCTATGCCGGGGCAGACGGCTCCTCTGATGGCGTTTCCTTGCGTTACCATACTTGGCACATCTGGACTCAGCCTAATATAATTTTCACTTGTATGTGTGTGTGAGTCTGTGTGTGCGTGTGCTTGCATATGTTTGTAAATGTTTTTAACCTGTTATGGGAATCTGGGGTCATTTTGTAAAGCACTTTGAATCACACTTTGTTTGAAAAGCGCTTTAGAAATAAAATTTGATTGATTGATTGAGTAAAAAGATGAGTAGCAAGTGTTTTACTCGTGGATGGAAATGACGGGAAACGTGGGTTTAAAGGTGGCAAGCGCATGAAGAGGTGGAGAATGAGTCCCGCAGCGCTCCTCCGTGAGAGCGGGGGGGGGGGGGGGCACAAGTTCCACTGCTGTTTCTCAACAGGAGGAGGGCTCTAGTTTCATTGCACCGTTCGTGTCAGTGGACACGGTGGGGGCGGGGAGGGGGGCGGGGCATGATGCTTAGCCTGGCGGGTGGCCAAGCAAAGCCTGGTGGTCCGCCAGGCTTATAAAGCGCTGGGGGACACCCTGCCGTCTGTTGTGAGGACCATTGACATAAATATACTGGACATCTCCTTTCCATAGGCTCCAATATCACGTTTTTGTGCTAAAATGGGAGGTGGCCACCACCGCCATTTTGGCCGTGTCACAGGTTCCATCAAGCCCAGACAATTCCAAAAAAGGGAAGAGAGGAGGAGCTGTAAGGCTGGGATCAACTGACACTAGAGCTGAGGAAAATAATCAAATAATCGATGCATCGGGATGCGGACATAAACGATTCTGCATCGTAGAAAAGTACGCCATAATCGATTATAGTGGAATGTAGTTTTGTTTTTTTAACGGCGGCACCAGCACCGCATCCAAATCTGTCAGAGTGAGCGTCCTCCACATTTACCTCCGCCTTAATGTGGTACTGCAGGGCTGAGCGCTAGAGTTGTCACCCGAGACCAAACCGGAACCGAATCAGCCCGACCGGTTCTGTTGGATTTGGGCCGTGAATTAAGTTAATTGAGCGGGTTGTCGTGCTGCGCGCTCCGCTCGCTCGATCAGCGACAGAGAGAGAGAGAGACACAGTCTGCTCACACAAGAGAGAGGATCGGAGGACGGTCCTCCAAACCGATGCTCCAAACAAGCGTTATTATTTTCATAATTTAATTATTATTTCTCCTGGAAGCGCTCAGTCAGACTGCTTGTTGTAATGTAGGGAGATCCGGTCTTGGGGAGGGGGCGGGGTCGATGACGGCGGCTGCAGCGTGATCGTCTGTCTCTTTTATTTAGTGACACGGAGAAGTTAAAAGGCGAGAGAAATAGAAGATAGAAGTTCTTGTTCCACTTTATTCTTTTGTTTCATGATGATAAACTGATGTTAAATTCAGCTTAAAGAGAAGCTGGGAGGAAGCTTTGGTTCATTTTAAGTTACAGGAGATCTTGTCTCCTATCTGCTCCTCCAGAGACAGCATGGACATGGGGGTCCCACAGGACAGGTTAGTGGTTAGCTGGTTAGTGAAAGAGATCCATCAGCTGGGTAATTTAATCCTAATCCAGCCCACAGCCTTCTGATGGTGTTATTATCAGGAAGAATAAAACACACATCTTAAATATTAGTGGAAGTGTAGAAATTGTTTTATGTTTTATTATTTTCTGCATCAAACAGAACTTGATTCATTCTCCAACATTTCAGAAATGAACCACTGGGTTCAAATGAAATTAAGTCAAACATTTCATTTGGTGTTATTTCTGACACCCTTCAACTGCAGCATAAATATTTGACTATAGAGCTGCTCAGAGACATTAAACACTCATATATGAACCCATTATGGATTTTATTATTACATTATGTGTCCTGTAGGTTTTCAGTACTTTTTTAGATTTTGTGAGTTTTTGCAAAGCGTGTTTTTCTCAGCCTGAGGCGTTTTGCTGAACGAGGAAACAGATGTTTTACTTTGTTAAATCTTCTTAAATGTTTTAAATGTTTTGTCCTAACCTGTTGTGAATGGAGAGCTTTTGAGGGATGGCAGGTTGTGTCAATTACGTTTTAGATAAAAAAAATAAAAAGCAATTATCTGACATCTTCTATTTATCGATGAAAACAAATCAATATGAAATAATCGTGATGCATCGGGATATCGAATCGAATTGAATCGTTGACCCAATAATCGTAATCGAATTGGGAGACAAGTGAAGATTCACACCTCTAACTGACACACCCGGTGGAACTAGCGACAAGCTAACCTGAAGCTATAAGGAGCTTTATAACACAATCAGTCATCCACCTGTTCACACACACATTCACACGCTGGTGGGAATGAGCTACGATGTAGCCACAGCTGCCCTGGGGCGCACTGACAGAGGCAGGGCTGCCGAGCACTGGCGCCACCGGTCCCTCCGACCACCACCAGCAGGCAAGGGGGGTTAAGTGTCTAGCCCAAGGACACAATGACGGTAACAAATTGAAAGGGGCTCAAACCTGCAAACTTCCGATCACGGGGCAAGCACTTAGCTCCTGTGCCACCGTTACCCTGTCTGCCATTACATCGCAGAAGAACTACATAAAATATAATACAAACGTAAAACAATACATCGTTTTTCTAAATAAGCGTGCTGCGATTGGTTGGCAACAACCCTGCAAAATTCTACATTCTACGCTAACACACTGTGGCTCCAACGTAAACAGAATGGAGGTTGCAGTTCTTTAGATGTTGTTCTGTGTTCTTTTGCTTTTGCATTTCTTTAGAACAAGGTATGCTGTGTTGATTTTTGAGATTGTTTAGCCTACTAGATGTTGTCAGTCAGGATTTATTAATGTGATTTCTTATCTATACAATTCTGGCAGATATCAGGTATGAGGTTGGCTAGTTAAACTAAACTCAGTTTACAAAAAGGTTATTTATGACTCAAAAAGAGGAGCAATCACTTTTCCACATAGGGGCCTGGATTGTTACTCGCCTTTGGTAAAAACACTAATAAGTTTCTGTAATTCCCATATTCAAGCTACTTTAATCAGCTTTCACAAAAGAGAGAGCTATGTGTTTGATCCTCGAAAATGAACAATGTCTTCTTTTATCACTGTCAAATTAAACACAACCGTCCCTCAGGCTTTAGTCTCAGCCAACAGTGCCATTAAATGTTGAGACAACTAACTTGTCAGGTGTAAAAAAAAGATTAACTAAGCATTGAAGAAAAATACATCTGCTGGCAGAAGAGTGGAATGCGGCAAAGAAAGAGGAAGCCGAGATAAGAAGTCTGGAAATCTGTGGGCTTTGTGACAAAACAAAAACAGAAGGAAGTGATGATTTTCTTAGTAGTTTTCTTTAAGAACTGTGAATTAAATAAATACTTGAGGGCTTGACAAAGTGCCAATTTTTCAAACTTTTTTAAATGCTGAATCTGTTTTTCCCCCGTCGAGCCACGAGGATGTGGAACATGTGGGAGGGGACAGAAGACGAAGAGAAGGGGGACTGAATGGAACTTTTCATGGATGCTCGTGTCTGCAGGAGTCCGCCCTAACGGCTTCACACAGATCCTCCTTAGCAGTGTGAGGCCGTTTAACTTCCGGTTATTTTCCTTTAAATCAGATTCTTTGAAACAAACATAAAGGTGGAGGCGCGTGCAAGCCCCCCCCCCCCCCCCGCCCCCCCAACTTTCTCCTGACGTGTCGTGCGGCTCTGTCGACAGGGACTGAAGTCTGGAACACTCAATGGAGAAAAGTTTTGATACTGTAAAACAGTTTGTGTTGAATGTTGAAGCTGACATAACCGCAACACTCACCACAGCGCAATGCGGTCCTTCGGGTAGTTGAGGCGCTCGATAGCTCCTAGAAACAGCGGCAGAGAGTGGGCCGAGTTGCGGCAGATGAGCGTGATGACAACCCGGGGAGCGAGCAGCGGGGACTCGGGGCTCCAGCGCTCCTCGGGGAAATACCCCCAGTTGGGACCCGGCAGCAGAACGAAGAGCAGGGCAGACAGCAGCAAGGTAACACGGAGCATGGCAGGGAGGGAGAGAGAGAAGCTCGCAAGTGACGCGGCGGACAGAAGAGGCAACGGGAGATGGGTCCAATCTGTTATTTTATGCCGACATTGTAGACATGGCGGGGGTAGGTGTCTGAGTTAAAGGGCGGGACCACGAGCTTCCAGAAGAACTCGGTGTTCTAGAAAACCCTCAGATGTAAACCTCTGTGTTTTACGGTTACAGGGTGAAAAAGAGTCATGCAGTGAAAATCAGCTAGCTCTAAACAGGACTGCCCTCCGCCTAAAAATCAGGCGGCAAAAACAAACGAACCGTGTTTCGAAAATGTGCCATTTTGTCCTCCCCTTTAAGAAGAGGACTGCGTGGCCTCGCAGTGACGCTCCACTTTATGCACATCTGGCGCACATCGAATAAATAAATAAATAAATAAAGCTACAATTTAACAAGCAATTATTTCTAAATGTATACTGAAACCAAATTCAAATATATGAAGCTACAACATCTTAGATTCTAATCCAAATATTCTGAATAAAACATAAATATCCAAATCCATAAATTGTTTTGATTCAAATCTATACATAAGAGTTACATCTAATAGTTAAAATCTAAATATGCCTGTTTCAGATAATATATGTGGGCTAACATGAAAAGTTAAATTGCTGTAAAATGGCAAAACTCTACCCCTCTTGGTGGTGGTGGTGGTGGTGGTGGGGGGGGGGGGGGTCAAAACTTGACTTTGGAAAAAAGTTGGACATGTGTCCCCCCACCCCCCCACCCCCCCACCCCCACCCCCAAAATGACATCTATGTATGGTAGTGTTCTGTTTTTCTGTTTTGCATCTGTCTCAGTCTGCCTCTGAAAGAGCTGTCTGAATAGATTCCTGTCTAATATCTCAGAGCCTTCTAATTGGTAAGATTGTTTATTTGTTGATTTATTCTTGTATGCATGTATGTATGTAGGTGTATATGCATGCATGCATGCACATATATCCAGTTAGATAAACAAGAGGTTGACAGAATGGGGGGGGGGGATCTGCCCTTTAACCACCTTCACCACTTTTTCTTTGACTCTGCACAACTCTTCTGAAAGCTGAGAGGATTCACTGGCAAAACCGATAACATCCTAACAGCCAATGTCAACCACCTGGAAGAATACATAAAAACAACAAAAACAGCATAAATACAAGTATTTTCTTCACTTGTATTTGCCAGATTTATTTAGTCACCGTTACTTTGCACAGAGCATTCTGAGTGTAGCTGCACCATGAAGAAAATGAACGGAGAGCCTCGACTGGTGCATAAACTTTTATTTGATTCTCTGGTCCAAATGCCTTGGACTTCACTCCGAGTTGCACCGTGAAAACTGTTTAGAGATATACAAAAGCATAAATAAAAGGTGAACAACAACTTAGATGTCATAACAGAAATAGGTTACATTCTCACATTTACATTGCTCCGCTGGCCAAGGGTGCTAAACAAAACAATAATTCCTCAAAGCTGCTTTATCTGTAGATTTGAGTGGGGATGCAGTCGGCAATGTGCAGCTGAGGTGACTTTAGGCTTAAGACCTAATTCAATACTTCTCCACAAACAGATTAACCCAAACAGTTTCCTCTGGAAGGGTGTGGCTTATATAAATTCTGTGAGCCAATCAAGGGTCATTGCCATCAGCTGCTCAGCTGGCAGCTACACTGAGCTTTGAGCAGCAAAGGTCTCCAGGTTTCACGATTTTTATCTTGAGAGGCGCTATAGAAATGATATTTTCTTCTTCTTCTGTAAGTCATGCACAGCTCTCTGACCTCAGTTTTGTTGGGTTAGCATCCTGGAATTTTCTGGTCCGAAGCTCCTCAGACGTGTCAGCATCTAGAATAAGGACTTTATTCAATGTCTGACCAGGTGGACAGCAGAATAAGATAAATGAAGAAGAAAAAGTAAATATCTAGTTTTCCAACTATCCCAGTCTTTTTCATTCAGGAGTTTTTAAAGCTTGCTAGTTATTCTCATATATACGCTAACTGAATAGTGAACTCACTGCCATGTTTATGTATGTGCCTCTCCTGAAGCACAAATTCATAAATATGCAAATGCATGTCTGCAAGTCAAATGAAAAACTTAGGTCAAATAAATGTAAAGCCTTAGGGGGAAATAAATTTTTTCGTTTTATGCATGTTTAACAAAAAAAAAAGTATTACTCTTGCAGTTTTCAGTTTTGAACTGGTATCTTTACATTACTTATGGATAAGAGCCCCACTTGCTTGGGTTTGAGTCAGTAGATCACCAAAAACAAATTAAAGAGTCAATTTCAGCATGTGTAGTTTGAAATCTCTAAATGCTCTGGTACACATAATCTCATAAATGCGTTCTAATGGGGGTCGGCTTTAATTAGAATTAAAGTGACAAGATTTAATATCTCCCTCTAAAGTTTTACCCAGTTGTCAGTCCTATCCCGACCTTTTGCAGAATACCTGCTGGATTTTTATGTTTTTTCTTGGAGATCAGTCGCTACTTTGCTGCCCCTGACAACAGGCCATCCTCCAAAAGCCATCTCCTGTATGTGCCAATGCATCCACACACAGGCCTGCTGGCAATCCTTAGCAAGTTCTGCAGTGGTGGAGCCCTGATCTCACAGGTCCACTTAAGGAGACACTGCTGCTGGACTTTCTTGGGTGCCGTCACAAACAGTAAAAATGGGGCAGGTGTAAATTAATTTCCATTTCAATAAAGAACTTTTGCAATCCTAACTTTTCCTAACATTCAGGAATTCATCCAAACCACCATTATCCCCTTAGAACCCAAACCCTTTTGAACTAGAAAACAGGTTAGAATAAATACATCCAACATGTAGGAAATATTAAAATAAAATAAAGGGCTTGTATTTGATGTAGTGTCTTCTAGAGTCCTGGAACCCCCAAAGTGCTTTACACACACACACACACACACACGCACGCACGCACGCACACACACACACACACACACACACACACACACACACACACACACTGAACTTGTATAGCGCTTTTCTAGACACCCAAAGACGCTTTCACACACTCTCACATTCACACACTGCTAGTGATGGTAAGCTACTTGTAGCCACAGCCGCCCTGGGGAGGTCTGACAGAGGCGAGGCTGCCATTTGGCGCCGTCGGCCCCTCTGACCACCACTAACACAGGCAAGTTGGGTGAAGTGTCTTGCCCAAGGACACAACAGCAGGATACCCCTGGCGGGAGGAATCGAACCCATGACCCTCCGATCATGAGGCAAAGAAGTAGAATCATTTTCAATATATGTAGAACGTCACTTGGGGTTTTCAAACTTGAATATTTGACTCAAGAAGCAGTTTTGCAGGTGTCTGAAATGGGTTGTGACACCAGTGTCACCATGGGTCCTTAAAGGTTATAAAAAACAGAAGAGGCAAATATTTTGAGAAGTAATATTTTTTTATTCTCAAAAGCAGTTTGCCAGAGCTAATAAAGTAATTTTTGTGTTTTTTGCAATGACAAAAGCTAAAATATTATCACCTGCCTTTCAGCTGAATGAGAAAGGAGTTTACACAGCATGTTGAACATGTCTGTGCCGTTATCTGCCGAGTAAACGTTATTAAAACCAAATCGAAACAGGGAGAAGTTCAAGTGCACGGCCTCTTACCACATCCACCTGAAACCAGGCAACACAACCTGCTTTTCTATATTCTGAGAACAGGCAAATTAATTTAAGGTGGCACAAAGGTGTTGTACTTGAACAAACTGATGACAGACCTGTGCCAGTGTGATAAAAATTGTGTGCAACAACTCATGAATGACTTGGAACAAAGCAGCAGAGCATCACACTTCAACGGATACAGTTTTCACACTCCTAGAGACTCGTTAGGTCAACGCTGGAAGGGGATGAGGAAGAGAGAAAGGTGGAAGTCAGAGAGCTCGGCCTCACATGCACAATCACATGCAGAGACACCTCCGTTGAACAGGTGATATGTTTCACCTTGTCCTAGAGGGTGAAGGTGCATTGATGTCTCAGAATTGATTGGCAACCCATCCTAGGGTCCTTACATATCCCATCACTCCAGCTTCGTCTCCTGGGACCGTGAAGCTGGCATAGACAATCGGATGTACGGGTGGCAAATCGAAAAGCTGAGAGACATTAAGTTGGGAAGTTTGGTTCACAGTGTGAATTTATTCCCAGAGGAGCCTTTTGCACGCGCCTCCTCACGTGTTAAGAATGCAGTAAAAAGACCACGTGACCACACAAGTCATTGATGTTTACGATTCAACAAAATGTGAACCGGCTCTGAAAGCCGATCGTCTTCACACGTGTTTGAGATCTGAGCAGCTCGGAGCGTTAAAGGGCAGAGAAACTGGATCCACACGGAGGGGTCAAACAGCGGCAAAGTTAAATAACTTTAAACTGAATCAGACTGTTTGAATCTTTCCGAATAAAACTGTAACATCAGTAAACACTCTGAGTTGTGACTGTGTATAAAATGTCGTCAGAATCAACTTACTGCTGCACAGACTGGGTTTTATGATGGGGAATCACAACAAACAAAGGGACTGGGATGAATTTGGCCCTGGGTTGTGGGATTACATTATAAATCACAAGGTCACACACGTCATATTGGCACTTCAGGATGATGTATGGCTACATCTGGGTGGGAAAACACTGGCTGGGCTGGCCATGAGCAGATCCAGCATGCAGCTTTGAGTCGTTTTGCACCAAACACAAGTCACTTCTAGACAGATGTAGGCCAACTGGAATGTAAGAGTGATACAGCCCATAAACGCTGATTCATTGCGTAGCGTAGATCTGAGAAGATTTTCAAATCCTTTCGTTTCACCATATATTTTCTATCAGAAGCTAATGCAGAAGATGTAGGAGACTATTTATTTAAACTTAGAGTGGCAAATTAAAATCAGAAAAATCATTTAAAAATGTATTTCCATTCAACCACATCTTTAAATAAAATCCTCATTGCTCTAAATGAACAAGAAATGCAGTGAATAAAAATTTGTTGCTGTTTTCACTGTGTGGATTGGGTGTTGGCATCTTGAATGGGGTTGATTACAAAAGTTGATCAACTATCAAGAGTATCTCAGAGGTTTACACATTGGTGGTTTTAATGAAATTCTCCCCTAAGTAGTTTATGAGATATTTTGCTACCAGGTGGTTTCAAACCTAATACAAAATAAAGTTTTAGGGATTTAAAAATGATTCAATTACTGAATAAAAATTGGATGTTTAAAATGATCCTTTTCTACTTTTAGTTGCTTTTTAAAGTGCATTTAATTTAACTGTATTATTTTGGGTTTAGTTTCACAGTCCCTTTGGCAGAATCATGGAATCACCTTCATTCTCCAAAGGAAGTGATCAAATAGATCAGATAAGGAGCAGCTGGCAGGAACTTATTCATTCCCTCCAGGAAACGGCTATGGTACCAGCGTGAATGTTTGAATGCTGCAGTTCCAGTTTCAGCAGCTTTGAAGCTTTAAACCAAAACCAAACTGAAACACAAAGACATCAAATAACAGCAGAGCTCTGAATGGCTCAGAGTCTGTAAAACTCAGAGCCCCATTTCATAACAGAACTAAAGAAGCCCTCTCATGACTCATGCATGCTTTTTCATGGGCATGCTTCCTGCAACTACAACCAACAGATGTTTGAAACAAAGAGGCAGTCGAGCTTTTTCTTTAGTTTTTAGGTCCCTGTAAATATTCGACTTTCCGTCGCCTTGTTTTAATGTCCAGACTGAACTGAGAGCAAAGAATGAAGCTGAGCTGCTAAAGCTGTTGCCATCTTTGTGTCACATGCGGCTCCTCCTGGCTCAGATATAATTGAATTCAATTCAATTCAATTTTATTTATATAGCGCCAAATCACGACAAGAGTCGTCTCAAGGCACTTCACATAATAAACATTCCAATTCAGGTCAGTTCATTAAGCCAATCAGGAATAATGTTTCCTATATAAGGAACCCAGCTAATTGCATCAAGTCACTGACTAGTGTCAGTGACTTTACAGCAATCCTCATACTAAGCAAGCATAAAGCGACAGTGGAGAGGAAAACTCCCTTTTAACAGGAAGAAACCTCCTGGGAATCCAGGCTCAGTATAAGCAGCCATCCTCCATGACTCACTGGGGATCTAGAAAACAGAGCAGGCACACACACAGTGGCGGCTGGCCAGTAGAGGGCGATAGGGCGCCGCCCTCCCACTTTCCCCTGTGTTTTTTAATTTTTATTTTAAAAAATAAATACATAAAATTAACAATAATCACATATTCTAAGTTAATTGTGTGTTTTGTAACAAAAATAAATCATATATGTATATATATCTATATTGGTCTCTGCCGGTCTCTGCCGATCTCTGCCGAGCGGTGGAGGCTGTGTGCTGTTTTTCAATCGCCCAAACAGGACGGGACCAGTTGTCCAATTGCTGACAAGAAAATCAAAGGGTAGGAATGGGAATGTAGCCAATCAGCATCGACGTTGTTTCAGAACGTTTCAGAAGCATGATGGGCGATAGAGCTACCGCCAAGGCTTTCGTTGATGTTCGGTAGAACTCGGAGAGTCTCGACTCCAGCACGTTTTGACGGTCGTGACGCAGACGTAGACAGTGCGCCTACAACCAGGATACCGGATCTCAGCAGCCACTGAATTCAGTTCGGTCTCCTCCAGTATCCGTTCGAGAGGAGAACTATGGTGGAAAAACTTAATGTCAAAGAGCTTGGACCAGATCAGCCCGACGTAAAGATAAGCCAGCAGGACAAGGAGAAGGGTAAACTGTACACACGACGCTTCTCCCAAAATTGGTACACCAGGAAGCAGTGGCTAGCTGGATGCAATCACGCTAATGCGTTATTTTGCTTTCTGTGTTTGTTATTCAAAACGGCTGGGATCCACAGAAGGTGGATGTGGAACTTGTGTCTCATTGGGGACTCCATTCATTCTCTGACTGAGGAATGCAGCGCATCAGTGCAGCAGCCAACAAAGAAACGGAGGACGTTTGGACAGGGAGAACAGCAGCTGGGTGCAGAGGTAAGCTGTACATTACATTTCTGTAAACAAGACAATCAGAATCAGAAATCCTTGGTTGCCCCACAAACCGGGACATTTGTTTAATAACATGTACATTGTTTAATGTGCAATAACTGTAAAACCTAATTTCAACACACATACCTATTATACATGATTAATCATGTAAATGTGTATTTCAAGTAAATTTGTACATACATCAATCTGATTCCATTTTACTTGTTACACCTGCTGCAGCAAATAAATTTCCCAGCTTGGGAAGTGGGAAATATGACATTTGTAAGAGGATACTGATGACATTATTTCCTATGCAAGTGTTTCCACTTTCCATAAGTCCTAACAGTGTAAATTTCTGGCATTTTGTCTAAGTGGTGTTTACTACCATTACTGTAACAGTGACCTGCTCATAATTTTTCGTGTTCACTCAAATGTTGAAATTAAACAAAATGTTTTTGTTACTTGCCTCTTACATTGCCTATTTACCATTTATGGTCATGTTATTTTATGTGCAATTTAATTTCAACCTTGGTCCGCAAGGCAGTTTGCCAATAGTCAGACACACCTGGATTAATCAGTTTGTCCAATGATGTAAGACAGGAAATAAAAGAGCTGTGCTTAATTCAGGAAATAGTGAAGTTGTGCACAAAGCTCAGAAAGCACAAGTTTGTTTAAAAAAAAATAGCACAGCCCCACCAAAAATATTTTTCACCAGTCGCCACTGCACACACACACACACACACACACACACACACACACACACACACACACACACACACACACACACACACACACACACACACACAAAGACAAAGTAATGTGTCTATAGTTATATTGTGATGCCTTAGTAAATATTCTATTTGGTGAGAGATAAACTTTAATGTATTTATCCTAGTGGATCTATAATTAAACGGATAAACTAGTAGTAGCACATCTAACGTCAAGGAAAGCAAAAAGTTATTATCAGGAGAGGGAGAAAGTTTAAGTGGTTAGCAGCAGTGTGCTAGACGATGGCCCCCTCCATGAGGCCACCACAGCTCAGCAGAACATTGTAGCTTCTTCTGGGGAGAAAAACACTTAGAGAGAAAATAAAGTTAACAGCTGAAATTGCAGAAAATAATACAATTAAAGAGCAGATTGTAGTAAGTGTAGTAGTAGAGTGTGAAAAGTGGTCAGTGTATCCTCCAGAAGTCTAAGCCTATAGCAGCATAACTACAGAGATAACTCTGGATAATCTATCTTATTTAGATGGAGGCATGTTGGAGGCAGGGCAAGGGAGAGCCGTCTTTACCGACTGTACACTCCACCTCCCTCTATTCCCCCACTTGTCCAGATCTAAGCTAACATCAGATTTTAACCATAGACCCCATCAAATAAAAATGTTTTAAGCCTAGTCTTAAAAGTAGACAAAGTGTCTGCCTCACGGACTAAAGCTGGGAGCTGGTTCCACAGGAGAGGAGCCTGATAACTAAAAGATCTGCCTCCCATCCTAATTTTAGATATTCTGGGAACCACCAGTAAACCTGCAGTCTGAGAACGAAGTGCTCGGTTAGGAACGTATGGAACAATCAGATCACTGATGTATGATGGAGCTTGATTATTAAGAGCTTTATATGTGAGAAGAAGGATCTTAAAATCTATTCTGAGTTTAACAGGTAGCCATTGTAGGGAAGCTAAGACAGGAGAGATGTGATCTCTCTTTTTAATTCTCATCAGAACTCTAGCTGCAGCATTTTGGACAAGCTGAAGACTTTTAACTACATTCTGTGGACTTCCTGAGAGTAATGAATTACAGTAATCCAGTCTTGATGTAATAAATGCATGAACTAGTTTCTCAGCATCACTCCTGGAAAGGATGCTTCTAATCTTAGCAATATTCCGAAGGTGGAAAAAGGAAATCCTACAAACCTGTTTAACCTGGGATTTGAATGACATGTCCTGGTCGAAGATAACACCAAGGTTCCTTACTTTGTTCTCGGAGATTAATGTAATGCCATTCAGGTCAGGTGATTGACTAAGCAATTTCCTTTTCTGGATTTCTGGTCCAAAGATGAGAACTTCCGTCTTGTCTTGATTTAAAAGCAAAAAGTTTAGAGTCATCCAATTTTTTATGTCCTCAAGACAAGCCTGTAATCTACCCAACCGATTAGGTTCATCAGGGTTAATGGATAAATTTAAGCATCGTCAGCATAACAGTGGAAGTTTATCCCATGCAGTCTAATGATTTTACCAATTGGGAGCATAGATATAGTAAAAAGAATTGGTCCAAGCACTGAACCCTGTGGTACTCCACAAGTAACCCTGGAGTATGAAGATGATTTGTCATGTACATTTACAATATGAAATCTGTCAGACAGGTAGGATTTAAACCAGCCTAGCGCTGCTACTTTGATCCCTACAACATGTTCAAGTCTTTCTAAAAGAACATTGTGATCAACTGTGTCAAAGGCAGCACTGAGATCTAACAAGACTAGAACAGACACAAGATTCTTATCTGAGGCCATGAGAATATCATTTATAATTCTCACTAACACAGTTTCAATGCTGTGATACTCTCTAAAACCAGACTGAAATTCCTCAAACTGAGCATTAGTGTTTATATGCTCACATACTTGGATGGCCACTATTTTCTCCAGGACTATGGATAAAAATGGAAGGTTAGATATTGGTCTATAATTTATTGGGTCATCTGGATCCAGAGAAAGCTTCTTAAGTGAAGGTTTGATTACAGCAACCTTAAAATCCTGTGGTACATATCCATTTACTAAGGATAGATTGATTTTATCTAGAATGGGGGCAGTAACCAAAGGAAATGCTTCTTTAAATAATTTGGTTGGGATTGGATCCAAAATGCAAGTTGAATGTTTAGATGAAGCTAATACTTTTGATAACTCTGAAAGCTCAACTGGATAAAAACGGTTCGAGCACAGATGAGGTTCTACAGTTACCTCTGATGCTGCCTCACTTAATGAGGAAGAAGAAATCGCATTGGGGAGGATGCTAAAGATTTTGTTTCTAATAGAATTAATTTTACTTGTAAAAAATCCCATGAAGTCATTGCTGCTGAGGGCTAAGGGAATAGATGGTTCAGAGCTATGATTCTGTGCAAGTTTAGCAACTGTACTGAAAAGAAATTTAGGATTATGCTTATTCTCCTCAATCAATGCTGAGAAATAAGCAGTTCTAGTTTGTTGAAGCTTATTTTATAAAGCACAAGACTATTTTTCCAAGATAGGTAGGCCTCCTCATGGTGCGTAGAATGCCATGTTCTCTCCAATTTCCTAGAGTTTTGTTTTAAGGCTCGTAAATGAGAATTAGACCAGGGAGCCTACGTCCTGTCCCTAATTACCTTCTTTTTAAAGGGGCAACATCATCTAATGCCACACGTAAAGAGGAATTAACATGATGAACTAAGGCATCAATTTGTGAGGGGCTAGAACTGAAAATATTGCCCTCTGCTACATGCCTCTGATTTTTTGAGGACAGTAAAGATGGAACAGTTGATTTAAAAGATGCAACTGCGTTGTCAGATAGAGACCGACTATAGTAAAATTTACTTTCATGTCTCAAGAACTCAGTTATAAAAAACTCAAAGGTTATCAGAAAGTGGTCCGAGAGGACTGGATTATGTGGAAAGATCGTTATTTCCTCACACTCTATGCCATAAGTCAGCACAAGGTCCAATGCATGATGGCAGGAGTGGGTGGAGCTATGTATTCTTTGAGTAAAACCAATTGAGTCTAAGATATTACTAAAGGCTACATTGAGGCTATCATTTTCAATGTCCACATGAATATTAAAATCCCCCACTACAATGACCTTATCAGTATTTAGCACCAAATCAGATAAAAAATCAGAGATCTGATCCAAAAACTCAGAGTAAGGGTCTGGTGGATGATATAAAACTACAAACAAGAGTGGTTTTACAGTTTTGCAATCTGGATTAGGAAAACTAAGAATAAGATGTTCAAACGAACTGTAGGTATTAATTGGTAAGGGACTGATTAATAAGTCCGAATGAAAAATGGTTGCTACTCCTCCTCCTCACCCTGTACTTTGAGCAATATGATGATTTAAATAATTTGAAGGAGTTGACTCGTTTAAGCTAACATAGTCCTCTTGCTGCAGCCAGGATTCTGTGAGAGAGAGCAAAGAGATCTGATAATCACAAATCAAGTCATTAACTAACAAAGTCTTAGAAAAAATGGATCTAATGTTCAACAACACACATTTAATTTTTCTGGTTCTCTGCTCAGTTGAATTTGTTCTAATATTTATGAGATTTCCATGATTTGCTTTATTAAGCCTGATATTTAATCTGTGTGATTTTGGCCACGGGCAGGACACTGTCTCTATAAAACCTGAGGAGTAAACATTCGTCGTCGTCTTCCTCCGCTTATCCGGGTCCGGGTCGCGGGGGCAGCATCCCAACTAGGGAGCTCCAGACCGTCCTCTCCCCGGCCTTCTCCACCAGCTCCTCCGGCAGTACCCCAAGGCGTTTCCGGACCAGATTGGAGATGTAACCTCTCCAACGTGTCCTGGGTCGACCCGGGGGCCTCCTGCCGGCAGGACATGCCCGAAACACCTCCCCGGCGAGGCGTCCAGGAGCCATCCTGACCAGATGCCCAAACCACCTCAACTGGCTCCTTTCGATCCGGAGGAGCAGCGGTTCTACTCCGAGTCCTTCCCGAATTTCCGAACCCGAAAAAGGGCACTTTTGGCGTCTGGGGTCTGACGCGGAGGGTGGCTGACCAAGCGTTTGTTTCCGACGCTTAGGGTTTGAGAATGTGTTGCAACTGTATCAGCAGGTGACAAGCTCCTGCGCTCGGGGGGGGGGGGGGGGGGGGGGGGCAATGCGTTGTGCCAGACCGTAGGTACTGACACGCGATCGTTCATGTCGGTTCATTTCCTTTAATGTTTTCTGTCTTTTATTTGCGCCTGATGTGTATCGATGCTGTGGAGCGGGGCGCATCAACTTGTCCTCCGACGCACAGATCACTGATGCGGCCGGCAAGCAGGGAGCGCTCCGCTGTTTTCGCGGTCGGTAGATCTGCCTCCTCAGCACGGCCACAGTAACAATCAGGTGTCGCCACCTCAAAAACTAATTTAACACACGATCGTTCATGTCAGTTCATTTCCTTTAATGTTTTCTGTCTTTTATTTGCGCCTGATGCATTTCGCTGCATGCTGTGGAGCGGGGCGCTGCGCGCATCACCTTGTCCTCCGACACACTGATCACTGATACGGCCGCCAAACAGCAAGCGCTCCGCTGTTTTTGCGGTCGGTAGATCTTTTAGAACTGCAGTTCAAAGGTAACTCATGAGGTGAATATATATGAACCCAGGTAGCAGTTTTTCTTTAGGATTGAGAGGAGATGCAGGAAGATAATAAACAGACAGGACAGAAAAATAGTCAAATAAAAACAAGTTAGTTTTTGTACCTGCTGTTATAACAAACAGACACCATTGAAGGTCATCAAAAGTGAGGAACAGAAAATGAAATAATTATTTTAATGTTTAGAGCAGCAGGAACTCCGAGAGGCTGCAGGCGCATCAGTGAGTTTGCGGCCGCTGCGCAGGGGGAGGGGGGAGAGGGCTGAAGCAGGGGGAGGGGGGAGAGGGCTGAAGCAGAAACTACCGTTGTTAAAAGAAATGTGTTTAACTTTGAAAATGTGGGTGCAATTTTAATTGTCAAAAACTCCAGCGAACCATTAGTTCATTTTGCTCAAATAGAAGTAGAGGCCTGCCTCTAATACTGGCCCTCCTTCCAATAAAGGCCTGGAGCTTGATGAGCTTGAGTCAAATACAGGCCCGGGCCTGTATTAGAGGATTTACGGTATGGTAAAATAATTAATAGGGCATATGTGGATGGGTAAAAGGGTAAAACCTAGTGCATTTAACATAAAAATGTATTGAAATATGACGGAGCTCTTGGAGGGACACTTCTGTGTTCCATTCTTCCACCCGGTTCTCCCCAGCGGTCAGCCCGGTGCATGTCTGACCGATGCGACGCCTACTAGCTGCTGCGCGGGCTGATTGCTTGTGGAGCTCTCGAACTCGTAGAGAGACCTGACCGCAGAAATCCTGCAGCTCAATTCCCTACCTAAATGCAAAGTTTGAGACGTGGTTCACTTAGGTCTGCACTGCCTTCGGGCTGATTTGTCAAGTTCACCAAATGGCGAACGGGATGTAAGGTTAGAATCAGCGGCGAATCGGAACATATATCAAAGCCCTGGCCGACGAAACAGTCCACTTGACTATTACTGTCAGGCTCGGAGAAAATTCGGGTTGTTTTTGTGTCAGTTGATTCTGCAACAGTGACTCTTACTAACGCAGCACTAGTTGACAGACATCATTACAGCGTGAAATCCAGCACTGCGTGACCCGGTTCTGTAAGGAATTCTGTTCAGGAGGTCGCATTTCAGGCTGTCCACATCATGTGTGACTGACTTTTACGTTATAATAACGATCACACACTAGGAATGTTATAAAGCGCCTATATAGGACAGTTTCTTTTGTATATTATCTGACTTTATAAACTCCAACAACAATGTGCTTCTATTTTTTTCAGGCTAAATCTACCCAAGACATTGGCTGTCAGACTGATTTAGTAGTCTGCAAGAATGCTCTTGTCCAGCCTGACGTGAAGCCTTACCCGTAGCAAAGGTGAATTATTTTTAATAATTGTCTATGTTAAACATTTTATTATTACCTTCTAGTTTTAATTTGTTTTGCAGATTATTGTTACACGTGATTTTATGCTCTTTTAAACATTTATAAATGTGCTGTTTCTTTGTTTTTTATATAGCCACCCAGTTTTGAGCTCCCAGCTGCTGTGTGTCTTGCGACACAGGGACCATGACGGAAATTCATCTTCCAGAAAGTCGGGCTCATCATTTAGCCAGATTTCTAAGGTATAGGCCAAAAATGTTTAGGTTAGTTTTGATAAGGTCTGTGCGTCTCTCATTTCATGACGTAACTTTTCATATTTTAGTTCCTGGGTGCCTTCAGTGTGCAGGGACTGTCCAAGCAGACATTCTATCAACATCAGGCAAAGCTCTTAATTCCAACAGTGAGCTGGCAGTGGCAGCTAGAGCAAGCTGATTTCATCCAGGAGGCTACTGAATCTGGACCTGTGACTCTTGGTGGTGACATGCGAGCTGATTCACCTTGTGAATACGTTTACATTTATTTATTTTATTCCTTTGCTATCAAATGTAAATTAAGTAATAACTTGCATTTCTGAAGGACACTCAGCCAAATATGGCAGCTACACCATGATGGATCTCAAAAGAAACAGTTATTGATATCCAACTCGTACAGGTACAACATTACCTGATGATTCCAGTACATTTCATGGTTAATTATTCACAGATCAATGGAGAATTATGTTTATTTTCAGAGCAATGAAGTTGGAAATAGTGTGCAAATGGAGAAGGAGGGATTTGTGCAAAGTCTGAGCACACTTTTGGAGAGGGGGGGTCGATGTGCAGCAAGTTGTGACTGACCGCCACACAGGAGTGCAGAAGCATTTGCGGGAGGGAAAAAAAGGAAATCAGTCACTACTTTGACCCCTGGCACATGGGAAAAGGTAATCTTTGGGGATGTATAGAGTGAATATTACAGGATTTTTTTTTTCTATTTTAAATGTGGGTCTATTTGGCTCTCCATAAATTGGTAAGAAAATCGAAGAGCTGGGGAAGAGAAAGACGACCCAGGATGTGAGACTGTGGAAGCAAAGAGTGGTGAACCACCTCTACTGGTCAGCATCCCTCTTTATTCCAGATTGGTTCGGCATGTACATGCTAATGTGGTGATACATAACCCAAACCAATATTACAATAACATAAACTCGTACACAAAGCGCTCCTCTTGATAGAGCAAATCTGTTCAGCACATTCTGACAGACAGACCACCTTTCTTCTGTCATGTTGCTGTACAGGACATTTTTAGAGTTTTTCTTTTAAAAGATGAATAGTATTACATTTAAAGAGCAATACTTTCACATGATCATTTTCCCACACTTTCTGTATACCTGTATTTTGTTGTTTTTCAATAAAGAATGACAAATTATTTAAGTTCATGGTTTTTTAGCACACAAATATCTGTCTGTAAAAAATATCAACAAAGCTAATGTTTACATAACAAGTATGATTGGGTTTTGAAATACAGCACTCTGTTTATTTTAGTAAGATTTTTAAACCAAGTAAAGTTAGTAAAGAACACATTTCTATTGTCTGCTAAGAAACTGTTGGACTTAAAACAGGCCAGTTGTAGAAACAACTTGGCATAAATGACTCTTCCTTCATTTTTTGTCTTAACCAAAGAAATTCCAGTAATTGAGCAAAAACATTAATTTTTTTACATCACATTTTATAAAATAACAGGACACAAAGTGTCGGTACATTTAAAAAATACTAAAAATAATAAAAGGGGCCCAGAGAGCTGCAGAGTGAGTGGAACATTGGGTTGTGAAGGAAGAACAGTTCTCAACAGTGTGATATGAGGGTGTAGAAGGTGAAGCCGGTGCAGGTCCCCCATCATGTTCACCAGCTTCACACTGCTGACCACCCCCATGTCATTGCTGCCACAGTGGATGAGAAGGACATCAGGAGCTGCTCTTCCATGCATGGAGTTGAAAAAGAAGGGGAGAAGGTCTTTCCACCTCAGTCCGCCCCAACCGAACCAGGAGACACGGACGTCAGGGAGGCCAAGGTTGTCTCCGAGGGTCTCTGCAGCTCTCTGGGCACCACGCCTCACTCAGCTGTCACTGATTATCCAAATGGCTATGGAGCAAAAAATAACAGGTTTGGCCTAGCTGTTTAAAGTACAAAACCATACATGAAGTGGTCAAGACAGGTACTTGGAACTTACACGCTGCGTTGTGTAGCTGACGTTGAAGACACATGGTGCTGCCATGGTGACCTTTTAACAGATCTAAGAAAAAAATGTAATAAAAGAGTGAAACTTAAAAACTCCCAGACCTCAATTCATGATTGCTAATCAGCTATGGCTGATTTATTGTTTGGATCACAGTGAGTTACACTAATTCTAATATATTTTTATTTCTATTACACATACATATTTTTTAACTGTTATTTTCACATGACTTATCAGGCTCTCTCGTTCTGGTTCTCATGATAATAATTCTGTTTCTTCCAGTTCCCCTGTGCCCTGGGAGGGTTTCAAACACTGCCTTCTTCTGCTGGAGACCATGGCGCGCTGCTGCGGCGCATTATTCGGTTATTGTTACCGGTATGTAAAACGCTTGGTCTCAGATTTTGTAAGAAAAATAAAATTTCCCCCCAAAATACGACTTATATATGTTTTTTTTCTTCTTCATTATACATTTAATGGCTGGTGCGACTCAGGGGCGACTTAATAGTCTTGAAAATATGGTACGTGAAAAATAGTGAAAAGTTGCTCAAAGCAAAATATATTTTTCTTACGGAAATAACTTATAAACTTACCGATGTAATATTTTTTATTCACAGAAAGGTACTTCTCATGAAAAAGCGCCGCAAACCTCCACCTGAACTCCATGCGGTCGATGGGTGTTCCACAGAGTTAGCTCCGGTTGTAGCTAGATGGCTACATCCATTAGCTCGGCTCCCACCTCCGCGTCAGCTTTAGGTTAGCTTCAGGTTAGCTTCAGGTTAGCTTGTAGCTAGTTCGGCCGGGTGTCGTCAGTTGATCCCAGCCTTACAGCCCCACCCTCAGCTCCTCCTCTCTTCCCTTTTATGGAGTTGTCTGGGCTTGATGAAACCTGTGACACAGTCATAATGGCGGTGGTGGCTACCTCCGATTTTAGCACAAAAACTTGTTATTGGAGGCTATGGAAACCCATTGTCCATATATTAATGTCGATGGTTTGTACGCGTGTATGTGAACCTATGGTGTGAACCAGTTGTTAATAGCTGTCCTACGACTCTCTGCCTCTCTGTCCTGTTTGCTCCGGTTGAAAGACACCCAAAACCACACCCCCTTCACGTGGTCACACACACACACACAAGTTCGGTGTGTGTGTGTGTGTGTGTGTGTGGTTTTTGTGCAGTGTCTGTTTACGAACACATTTGACTATCGCAGAATTGTATTTTGAAATGCTTTATTTTGTTAAATTTACCAGCCTGCCTCTTATGTCTAGGTTTGACCTCCTGCCAGAATTGACGCGGTCCGCCCGCGGCTTGCGAAAAAAATTGAGCAGACGCCGAAACGATTGCTGCATGGCGCAGGCTGGAGCGCCGGCGCGCGGTGCTTCGTGGCGCTTCGGCGGCCCATGTGGTCTGTAGAATTGGATAACAAGGGCGCAGAATGAAGGCGGCCCCAATTTCACTGCGCTTCTGCAGCCGGTGTGTCCCCGGCGTCAAGTCTACCCCTTTATAAAGTCTACAGACTAGAGGCTGAGAGAGAAGGACTTTTGGCTTAATGTAGGCACCAGTGGCGACTTGAGTTGGCTGGATATATTTACAGAGCTGTTTTGTAAAGCTCCCCCATACCAGTGCTCTTTAGTAAGCAGAGTCAGGTGGGGCGTTTTCTTTTGTTGCTCGGTCCAGCTCTTATTTGTAAGATCCTGAGATTTCCTCCTCCTGGGTAAGGCAAGGTTAAGTTTTGTTTTGGGACAGAGGTAGTAGGTAACTTTAAATAGTGATTCACTTAGCAGTCATATTAGTTTGATTTCTTTCCTTACAGGTGGTTGTCTTAGTTTCCTCTCCCGTTGGGACACCTTTTGTTAATAATAAACCGTTTGATTTAAGGTGATTGGTTTGGGTCTTGGTCTGTTTTATCCACCTTTTTGTTTTAAGCCTCTGTTGGGTATTTTTTTATTCTAAAACGAACTACACAGGAGAAAAGGTTCAGTAGGTTTTTTACGCTGGATACAGCGGAGAGAGACAGGTCGAGAGCCTGTTAGGCCCTCGTCCAATCAACTCTGGCCTCCCCTCTGCACCACAGTGGGTTTTATTGAAACACAGGGAAAAAAGGACAAAGAGCAATCCATCGCGGTCTACACTTAGCCAATTACAGTGCTGCTTTTAGGCTAAGGTGGGATATTCCAAAAAGGAAATCTTAATTTATGACTGACAGCGAGAAACTCAGTAACCATGGATACCTGTTAGGCAGGCTATTCCCTAACCCCCATACAAACAAACATCAGGGCTTATCAGCCGCCTTCCAGAGCCAAAAGAGAAAGAGAAAGCCCTGTGGTTTACGTAACAATATACGATTAACATATGATTACTTAAAAAGGAACATTTAAGACAGTAATACAATAAAATCCCTAACAGCCTCCCAGGGTTTCCTAGACCTGGTTGGGGATGTAACAATTACTATTGACTTTTCAAGCCTACCCATTGGGATTTACTAAATTATTGTATTTGTTTTTATTTTTTTATTTTTGTTTTAATTACCATGCCATAATATATGTCTGATTTTGTGAAAAAGCAAAATAAAATGTTTGTTGTTGTTGTTGTTGTTGTTGGGTAAACACCTTCCTTCATAGAAATAAATGCACTGGGATTGAATGGAGACACATCCAAATGGCGACCTGCTGCTACTCCAGCTCCAATTGGCAGCGCCAGTCCTACGTTTTTTTGTTGCTCTAATTGGTTCTAGCTCTGTCTAATAGTATGCAGAGACAGTTTGAAAGACAACCGTAGATTCTGCCCCCACAACTTAGCTCCATCTATGGGTTGAGGCCAGACTATTTACCAGCCAATATATCAGACATATATAGGGAAGCAGCTTTTGTCTTGCATTTTTTGGATAAAGGTTTATATCTAATGTTGATGGGTACACTCACATCTTGCTTCTTGGTCACACAACACTTTACGACTCCGTGGTTCTTCTGGTTTTGTCCGAGTGTAGACTTAGTCTATGTCATCCTTCCACATCCTGCTCCTGCAGCACGTTTGGTTTATTGTCTGTACTTGGATCCTCTTTTGGTTAATTTTTTTTTAGATTTTCTCTTTTTTAATTTATACAATAAAAATAATTTTTGATGCAAAATTCTTTTAACAAGTAAAAGGAAAATGTTTCCACATTGATTTAACTAAAAAGGATGTTTTATTTCTTTGTGAAAAGTCACAACAGTCTGTAATCTCCAGGCATCCTCTCATCTCAAAGAGACACTTTACTCTCCATAATGTCTTTAAAAAGGTCCTCAGTGACCGCCTGGTAGCATCCAGCATGGCTGTTCAGATAATAGATCCTTTGATTTGAGTCCTGTGGCTTGTATGCTTCCTTCTGCAGACGTGTCTTTTGGATTTTGAACGTACCTGAGAATAAAAGCGAGAAGATAAGTTTGTGTGTGACTTTGCCAAAACATGATAAAGTCCTTGCTTTGTTCCCACACCTGTAGTGTCAACAGATGGCATGAGCCGAAGGAAGACAGGCCAGGCGTAGGAAGGAAGGGATTTCTGCACACCCATCAAGAAAGCATCAAGGTCCAAACACCCTCCTGTGTGAGCTACTGCTGCCATGCCAGCTTTTCCCTCCACACCTGAAGCACAGACAGCCCAACAACTGAGATGAGGAAGTACTTGCTTTTCGGTTTTCAGATTTGTGTTTATTTATTCCTACCCCCCCTTCTAACTTATTTCATGTGTACCTGGTACAGATACCCCATAGACAGCTACATCAGTGTGTCCCAGTAAACCACTGAGGATCCCCTCCACCTCTGTGGTAGAAACGTTCTCTCCTCGCCAACGAAATGTGTCACCGCTGCGGTCCCTGAAGTACATGTAGCCATATTCATCCATCACCAGCACATCACCTGCCAAGCATAAACATACAGAAATAATAATTAAAGAGCTGGAAATGGTCATTTGATGTTGAGAACTGATGGTGTTTTTCTATTATCACTGTGAGTGTTTAGGATGACTCCCAACTACAACAGAAACCAATTTTTTTTTTATCTCAGTTTATCTCAGTTTCTGACTGAGTTGTAGCCCTTTTTATGAGTACCAATGGTGGCCTAGCCTGGCCAGCCATGCCAATGCTTCCTTATGGGAAGCAAAGGGCTTGGTAACGCTCCCATTGAAATAAACCCACCCCCTAAGAATTCTAAACGAGCCAATCGGCGCTGAGCAGCATATGTCACACACCGTGACGCTCACTTTGTCTTAGACAGTGAAGATGGCGTCCGAAGCGGAGTTTGCGTCGGCTCTTTCCTCTGTTCTAAAGGACTTGGCCATGTCTTTAGAACTACAACAAGAAGAAGCGCTACAATCATCTAGCTGGCTAGTCACGCCCCTCATGGCGCTCTCTGCCTCTGAGTAGCAAGACTCCTCCTCTGTGTAGAACAGACAAAGGGCGAGTCTGGCTGGCCAGGCTAACAGCGGCCATCTTGAATCTGGTTTTAGCTATTAATCCAATGAATAGTTGTTTTGTTTTTTTATTAAAATCATCCATCTGCTGGTTTAAAATAAAAGTTGAACACTAAAGTTAAACTATATCAGGCATTGTTGGGATCACTTTTAACCACCATCATTAAAGTGACTGACATTTTTGTTTTCTAAGCCTGCCTGGTTTTGACTCTGACCAGCTGTGGATGTAAATTCAACTCATTTCTGAAACTATCTTTAAAATCTGTCCAATAATTCATGAGATATTCTGCATAAAGGCTGGGCTCACTCTAATAGTGAATGGTTTAAAGGCAAAGTATAAAATAAAATTCTCATGCGATCACTTCAAAGCTGCAGAATATCTTGGGCATCGCGCTCAGCTACCAACACAACAAATTTTTGCTCGTTATCTTTGAAATTGACAGGGTTTTGGCAAATTTGTGGCAGCCATTTTTATTCTGGGTGAGTCTAAAGGTGAAATATTAAACAAATGCACCTAATCTTTAGAACAATAATTCCATTATAATAAGTATTATGCAGTATTTGTTGTTTTCACTGCTTGCGGGGAGCTAGAGCTGATCTCATCATGAACTGGAGCAAAAATAGCAGTAACAACATTCTCATAATCACATAATCAATGTTAGGAATTGGTTACACGGCCTTTCTGAGCTGAATCTTCTTGTTTCATCACATCCTAAAATCCAGATGTGACATCAACACTAATCCGGTTGATAAGGAGACAGAATGAAACCTGCCTGAGACATAAGCGGAGTCTCCGAGCTGGAAAACATTGTGAGCTATTTTCTGACTAGTTGAGTCCTGATCGGTGTAGCCGTCGAACCTCCTGAGTGGATCACAGTCGCTGATGCGCCCGACAAGCATCCCTGGCTCCCCTGCAGAGACAAAAACATTTTTTCTTGTTTCTGCAGCATGTTTTCATGCTGTTGTAGCGTTGTGTGTCTGTGTTTGTGATGTTACCAGGCTGACAGGGAATGCAGAGGCCCTGACAGTCCCTGAGCAGCTCTTTGTCATCCTCCTTCACTCTGACCAACCTGATGGGGTAAAAGTTGGGCAGGATGCGGCTGCTGAAGCCACATGCCCCCACCTGAATGCGGCGATAGCATTTAATCATTTCTGCTGAGCGATAATATCTGACAGGAGGAACATCGGTTCACCTTTCCATCTATGTTGATGAGGCTGCAGTTGCATTCAGTCGCTCCGTAAAATTCACCAACTCTTTGGATTCTGAATCTTCGAACAAACTCTTCCCAGACGAAGGGCCGGAGACCATTCCCGACGGCGGTTCTGACCCGGTGGTGAGCCTCGGCTGGACGGACCGGCTGGGCCAACAGGTAACGGCAGATTTCACCAATATACTGGATCACCTTTGCACACAAATGAGTGCAAACACAAACCGAATGTTAGAAAGTGAAAGACGTTTGCAGCAGAAACAGAAGCATACTAACAGTGCAGTTGTGTTTGACACAGTCGTCCCAGAAGCGACTGGCTGAGAACTTTCTCCGGATCACGATGGTCAAACCAAAGAGCAAACACTGTCCGACACCCATGATGGTGCCTGCAAACACCATCAACACATACAGCTGAGAAACACTCATCAGCAGCGTGAGAAGAGACTGGGACTTTGCCCATCAGCAGGATTTGTGACAATGTGATGGAATAATTACAGCGCTGGGTTCATGCAGCAGTACCTGCAGAGTGGTAGAGGGGAAGGCAGTTATAGAGGATGTCATCACGGCACAAGTCAAAGGAGTGAAAACCAAAGGCAGCGATGCGAAAATACCTGCAGAGGAACATCAGGTAAACAAAATGATGGGAGTAATTTCAGTATGAAACTGTCTCTTGTAGTTTTTTAATGTTAGTGAGGTAATCCGCATACTTAGAAGCTAGCTTTTCAATTGTTGCGAACAACAAATTATGATCATTAATTCAAGATTTTTTCAGACTGAGATAATCTGAAGATGAAGATGGCCACTCCTCATCTAATAAAAGGGAAAAATAGAATCCATATTTTAATTCTGAGTGGTAAATGGCCTGTGTTTGATATGGCACCTTCTAGAGTCCTGGAAGAATTTAGTTATTTAACATCTCTGTTCTTGTTAAACTGCTGAGAGGAAAGTTAGTATGGTGTTATAGCTTCCTAGAGTTAGGGAAACAAGCTAAGGAAAGATTTTATTTCACAAAACAATCTTTAATCTATAATATTGGAATAATTATAGAAAAAAATGGGAGTTTTGTTAATTAGATGAAACCTGATTTAACACACTATTACATTTGTGACCACTTTAGAAGAAATACACACCTGTGCTCCATCAGCCTAATAAAGTCCTCAGTAGCAGAATTTCTTTTGTTTAGTTTTATTTTTACATAGAAAATAAATGTTGAATTTTCATTAGCAAATTTAGGATTTGATCATCTTTACATATTTATTTCAGTTTTATTTTGCTGGCCAGTTATTGACTTCAATCTTGGAATTTCTAAATGTTTTGGACACATATGAATATACACGGTCTCCCAAGTTTTTAGTTCCCAAATCTTCTATGTTTAACCATAAACATCAGACTATTTTTCAGGCAAATACGCAAAATGTATTTATTTATTATGTTTTATTTGTTCATTTGCTTGTTTTTACCATTTAGAACGGCCTGACCAAATTGGACTTTGGAGCTTTTTTAACTTTTGTAAAAAAAAAATTTTGAACTTTGCGTTGATTCATACATGACACACACATCGGCTGTCTTATTTGTTGTAGTTTTAATTAATGTCTAATTAAGATTCCTGTCTCAACAAGTCATAATGGCAGTTATCAGGTCAGGTGTAAATCTAGATCTCAGGAGACTTGTGCGAGGAAAGCATTTCTTTAAATAAGATAAATAGAAAATCAAAATAAAACAAATTAAATCAACTTTTTGATCACGTGAAAACAAATTTATTGTTTTAAAAGTTCCATGTTTACTTTCTTTTCTTTTTTTTTATTATTATAAATTTAACATGATTCTAGAAACTGAACAATGTTTTATCTGGAAAATAAATATTCTTAAAACCCGCGTGTGTGTACAGAGTGTGTCTATTGAAAAAAAAAAAGAAGTGGAAAACAATAAAACAGTTTTTTCCAAAATGTCAAACAGCATTAATTAACTAATGCACTCACCGGCTGTGCACCACAATGGCTGCCTTTGGCATGCCAGTTGTACCAGACGTATAAATGTAGAAAAGTCTGTCTGCAGAGACAAAAAGGATAAATCTGCAGATGAGTTTTAAAACTCCTGCTGCTCTCCGTGTCTGTTGCATAGTTAACAGGGTTGTACTGGTGTGGCATGCACCTAGACTCCCCCATCATCTTCTGACATGTTACTTTCTCTGAGCAAGCAGAAACATGAAGAGTAATGATAAGAATGTGTAGCAGGCCAACAGAAAGTCAGTGCTCAGATACACCTGATGACTCAGATGTGGTTTAACACACACTTAATTAAATCTAATTTGAATGTATCTTGCTTTGATTGTTGGATGTGATTGTTTCTTTTAGCTGAGAGTTCAACTATGATGTTTCATCTGTGGAGTTAAAGTTGAAGATGAGCTGAATGAAGGCACAGGTTTACTCTGACAGGCAAAGACTTGCTGCAGAAAAAACTGTGTTGCAACCAGAATTTTATCTCATGTCACAGAAGCGCTGCAAGGAAAGACTTTCATACAAGCCTGACATGCACAACTGAGCGTTACCGTTAACTCCCTTCTTCAGCTTGTACGGTGGTGGGTGTGTGGGAGAACGCTGCAGCAGGACATCCAGACTCTGAACTTGGAGGCTGCAGAGTTTCTCCTCGTTCTCATCTTCTCCGCTGCAGAATAAAACCATATTTGGCTGCAACGATCCGATGACTTCTGAAACAGCTGGAAGTCAATCAAGATAAGATAATGTGTTGTATTTTTTGGGAAATGCACCATACACTTGTGATTAAAAATCAGCTGCCGTCTGCAGGTATCTCCATCCCACCTTCAGCCTTTTCTGCTCCAAACACCATGGCCCGAGCTCCGGACACGCCCACGCAGTGCAGCAGGGAGTGCTGTTGAAGGTTGCAGTTGATGAATGCCGCTTCCACACCGATCATAGCCAGACCCAGCCACAGAGCCACCACTACTGGCCGGCTTTCCATGTACAAAGCCACGACATCACCCTCAACCCAGCCCTGTTCCAGCCCCCAGTGAGCCACAGTGTGGCAACGCTCCTGCAGCCGCTTAAAGCTCCAAATCTTGATAAAATAGACATGAAATAATTACGATGATTTATATCAATGGAGAGGAGAAATAATTTGTTTTGGCATTCATTAACAATGTATTCACCTCTCCAGTTGCCTCATAAATCAGAGCAGGTTTGTTTGGGTGCTGCGTCACCGTCTGGGCAAATAAGTGAGGGATGGTGCTGTTTTTCCTCTGATTGCGATGCATGGAAAGCCTCACGCGCACAATCACTACCAGACATCTGTTGGACAGAAACGAGAGAGGTGGGAAAGAAGGGCAGATGACAGCAGGAATGAAGCTGGCATAAAAAAAAATCTTTCATACTTTAGATCTCTCTTGATGGTGTGAAGAGCAACATGAAGGTTCTTCCAGGACCCCACCCAGGCCACACAGAGACCCAGTCCCACCAACAGGTTGCAGAACCAGGGAAGGAAGTAAAGTCCTACCAGGGCCAAAACAAGTAAACTCACCAGTTTCCTCATCTGCGGGAACACAAACAGCAATCTCAGATACAATCATGGACCAAAGCGGCGCAGATTTTATTCTAAAGAAGTACAGTTACCTGTTCTGGGATATTGGGAACGCTTCACAAAGGAAAGCAGCACAAACAGCCAGAGTTGACCCAGGAGTTGCAGAGGCAGATGTTTACAGAGCAACTGTCAGACGTGAAATGCCTGATAAGCAGCACGGAGCAGCACAGGTTACAACTCACAGCTTCTGCGTCACAGAGCAGAGAGTAACTTGTTACCCGGAAGGCAAACCGTGAGCTCTGGTTCTGAAAACTCACCATAGTGTGGTAAATCCTGATTTTTTAAATTTATTTTTATCTTACACGTGTGACTAATTTACTTATTTATTTTACTCACTGCACAGCTTTTTATTCTTCTTCTTGTAATCCTTATTTGATTCTGTGAATCTGCTTTGAAGGGCAGTTAAGGAACGCTCTATTCTTCTGTTTTATTCAGTGGCTGATCTAGGATTTTTCTGAGTGTGGGGCCATCAAAGGGCCATTATATTTATAGAGGGGGCCAAGATTTCATGCTGGAAATTCCCATTTGGCACATTGGGGAAGGCAGTTTTATTTATATAGCACATCATCCACAGAGGCAATTCAGTGTGCTTTCCAGGAGCAAAAACAGCAACAGAAACGTGACGGCATAATTAAAGTACACAAGTAAACTTAGATCAAATTTAAAACACATATCAAATTCAGATTCGGAATTAGATGAAAGGAAAAGTTGAAGGGTAGTTACAGTGCAGAAGGTGCAGCACAAGGGTATAACCGGAAGGAGATCCGACATGCATTTTGGCCCCATGTTATTGAGTGATTTATAAACTAGTAGAAGCACTTTGAAATCTATTCTGTAATTTACTGGTAACCAGTGTAGAGATCTAAGAACAGGAATGATGTGCTCAGTTCTCTTGGTTCTTGTTCAGACTCTAGTAGCAGCATTCTGAATGAGCTGCAGTTGTTTCACAGCTTTTTTGGGAAGACCAATCAAAAGACCATTGCAATAGTCCAGCCTGCTGGAGGTTAACGCCACCAGTGTTTGGACTTGGAATTTCATTCACCCATAATCTGGTCATCAGGCAAAGGACAGATGAGTGAAAGGACAAGAGAACTCCAGCGGACAATCAGATTTCAGCAGGGGCCAATGCCTCTGTGGCCCCGCCCCCAAGACCACAAATGATTAAAATTTAGTCCATAAAAATATGGGCAAAGACATGAATAAATAATGATCAAAAGATCCTCAAACAATAGGAATAATATTCATGAAGGAGCCAAAAATAATAATTCACAACAGATTCACTATAAATTTGAAGTTATTCTGAGACCATGGTTCTCGACCGGGAAAGGGTGGCTTGCCAACTCCGGGTCAGGGGAGAGGTCCTACCTCAAGTGGAGGAGTTTAAGTATCTCGGGGTCTTGTTCACGAGTGAGGGTAGGAGGGATCGGGAGATCGAGAGGCGGATTGGTTCCGCGTCTGCAGTGATGCGGACGCTGAGCCGATCTGTCGTGGTGAAGAGGGAGCTGAGCCAGAAAGCCAGGCTCTCGATTTACGGATCGATCTACGTCCCAATCCTCACCTATGGTCATGAGCTTTGGGTAATGACCGAAAGAACGAGATCGCGGATACAAGCGGCCGAAATGAGTTTCCTCCGTAGGGTGGCCGGGCTCAGCCTTGGAGACTGGTGAGGAGCTCGGACATTCGGGAGGGACTCGGAGTAGAACCGCTGCTCCTCCGGATCCAAAGGAGTCAGTTGAGGTGGTTTGGGCATCTGGTCAGGATGCCTCCTGGACGCCTCCCTGGGGAGGTGTTTCGGGCATGTCCTGCCGGCAGGAGGCCCCCGGGTCGACCCAGGACACGTTGGAGAGGTTACATCTCCAATCTGGTCCGGGAACGCCTTGGGGTCCTGCCGGAGGAGCTGGTGGAGGTGGCCGGGGAGAGGACGGTCTGGAGCTCCCTAGTTGGGATGCTGCCCCCGTGACCCGGACCCGGATAAGCGGAGGAAGACGACAATGACGATGAAGTTATTGTGTATTTGAGTTCAATTTGATTTGTTTAATAGCAACCTAAAAAAAATTATCAGAGAACTACAAAAAACAACAGAATCAACTTCATCGCTATAGCTTCAGACAATTGTGGATGTATAAATATTTGAACATTTCTACCTAATTAAAAAAGTTGTGGAATTCATTATGACAAAAAAGTCTCAAATGAGACTTGTTTCTGCTTTTTCTGCAATGAGCAAACGTATAATAATTTTGAATAAATAATTTATAAATGCATGTTTCACTGGTGTGCAAGTGCTTCTGCTTCTGTATGAAGTTCTGAACCAACTCTAAAAGGCTTTGAGAGATTTTAAATGTAATTTTTCTGCATTTATCACAGTAAAGCCATGTGATAAATGATATATTGACCTGCTTTGTGAATGTCGTTCCACAGAACGGTGACAGGAGGGAATTAGTTTGCAAGCCATAGCACGACAATGACGTCAAAATGAGTCTTCCATTGTTTTTCTTGAAAAGTCTGGAGGCCAGTTGGTTTACAGCGAACACAGAGAAACTCATCCAGAGACAAAAACTCATGAAAATAGAGGTTTTAAGACGAAGCTTTAATTAACTCACTGGTGAATATTTACAAAAATACAAGTAGGCAAAGTAAAAAAAAAAAAAAAAAAAAAAAGCATTTTTAACCACAGTTCACTCTAATAACAATCGTTTTTACATTCACGAAAAGCTCCTTTGTGTATTTGGCTTTTTCTTTACATAAAAGCATTTTCTTGCAGTAAAATATCACAAAGTACTGATAAAAGCATAAAGGTTCAGTCACATGTACAAACTAAAAAAATAAAGAAATAAAAACTATTAAAATATGGATTTTTCAAACCACTTTGACTTGATCAGTTCTTATAAATCAGATTTTGTATTTTTGAGTTTTTGTACATGAGTGAATAATCATTTATTCAACAGAAAAGTGCATTTAAATAAATTCACATAGGTACAAATCCCATTAACTCAACATTTCAGGGCTGCAGTCTTACAGTACTTCTAAAATAAACAACAACAAACAGATTTTTGTGGGATAAACATCACTGGATAGAAGGAAGCTGCAGCCCTATCAGCAGGGTGGGTCTGCTTAGTTAATTACGCAAACTGCTGTGTCCCATATTTGTCCACTTGGTTCAGAAAAGTAAAAGTGAAAAGAGCACAGCTCCGATGGGGATGTTGAAAATAGCCATAAGTGATTCAGAAATTAAACATCACTTATTTTGTTGCTCTCTTTAAACTATTTGGTCAACCATAAACAAAAAACTTTAATACTTTAAATACAGTACATCTCGAAATAATAAACAAACCTATTTTTACATGTAACATTTAAATTTATATAAAAAATATAGTACAAAATATTTGCTCACAATCATGTCAACGTCTAAAGTCTAAAATAAATACAGCAATAAAAGCTCACTTTTAATCCCTCTAAAGGCAAAACAGCTTATAATAGAAGTGATATGTGGATCAGCTGACCGCCATAGCTCATGAATAACAGCTGATTTCATTTAGTTTATTGTTTAAGGAGTTCTTTCTAGTGATGGGAGGTGTTCGACAGGAGTGTCAGTGAGGAGGATCGCTCAAATCAAAAGGTAAATATCCAATGTTCTGGTCAATACTGGGCCTGGTTTGCTATCATGTGAAAAGTCTGCTGTTTAACTGTTGTGCTTCTGTTGTGTCTCCCTTTAAAGTTAAGTAGGAGCTTCTTGCTGCCAGTACCATAAACTTTAAATATATAATTAAATATATAAAACAACTTATGCTAAAGTTCAAAGGAAATTTAAAGTAAAAAAAAATTCTTTACTTTAGCTAACAAGCAACACATTCTCACACCCAAAGCCCGTTAGAAATATCTAGATTTGTATTTTTTTCCTATGACCAGCAGGGGGCGCTTCTTGATGCAAAAAAAAGAGTATAAACCTAAAGAACAGTCGTATTTTTCAGGTTTAATGTAAAATTTCAATAAATATTTTTGTTTTAAACAAAAAAATATTTGTTTGGACTGTTAACGTAATCTGCAGTTAAAACGATTTCCCATTTCTGTTGGTCATATTTGATGTAAAATTTGATTCCCAATCCTTCTAATGAAATCTATTAAGCAATTCAATATTTGACTGTAATAACTTCATCTGGCTGCAGAGTCAGTGCTTCATTTTCCGACTAGTGAACAAAAATCACAGAGGTTTATTTTGAAGGGGTGGGTTGGAGAGTTTTAAAAATGGGACATTTAGCCATAAAAAAGGTGTGATAACCTGTCCTTGAGGCAGTGATGAAGGTCAAGTTCTTCAGATTTGGGATTCTCCGGTGTGCTGCCCACTCCGGGAACCCTGAAAAGAATTAAATCACATCATCAGAAATCTTTTATTCTGAAAGTTTTGTTCATCTATAAACAACTTGGGGTGAAAAACATCGCACATGTTTCTTGTTTTATTCAAACTTTGTATTAATTTTTGTTCAGTTCCTTAAGATTAACCTTCATCAACACGTGCTCAGCTACTTTTGAGGACAGCTGATTTACATAATAAATGTTTTTTTTAGCCTTGCTGCCTTTCACAAATGAAAATTAATCCAATTTGTCTGAATTAAAGAAAAAGGGACGAGAATCTTAAAATTTCAGATGTTTGTAAGGAACTTTTACTCCTACGTTTTTTTCTGATTAACACAGATCCTTATTTATAGGAAAAGATAAACCTTTTTTCAAGCCCTGTAGAAAAGTGACTCATGCTCTGGTTTTGGACCAGTTACAAGTTTGAACACAACATAACGCAGGCTTTCATTTAAAAACAATGATGTAACCCATTCTTTAGGAGCAGTATCCTGATTATTAACCCTATTTCTAACAATAGATTTTCTATTCTACTGCAAATCAAAATGCAACAGTGTTCAGTTTTAAATCAGTAAACTAATATTATGTTTTTATCTCAAAGCCCCAGTATACTGCAGATGTCTGTTCCATTCATTTTGTTTCTTAAATGAGCTTTCAGTGCTTTTGTGGAGACATAAACTGTTTTTTTCTTACCTGATGTTAAAAAGCAGTTTGAAGAACTTCAGTTTGGAGAAATAGAGATTAGTTCTGACCACAAAGTAACCATTACTAAATGGATTTCTGTCCTTAAATTGCTCTAATCTCAAAAAAGTGGCAGCATGTCATGTAAAAAAGGCTTTTAAATGTTATTTCAATCCTTGATAATTTCAATCTACAGGATTGTTTTAGCTAAATATGATTCTTTACAGGACATTTATTAATTTCTGCAAAAATGTACTATTGTAAGTAAGTAAATTTTACTTATATAGCACTCAATCGGGTTGGAGCATAAGGCTTTAACAGTTCAGTAATATAGGGGGGAGCTTGACCATGTTGAGCCCTGAAAGTTATAGTCATTGTTCTAAAATGAATTCTAAAGTTAATGGGTAACCTGTGCAGAGACATTAGAATAGGAGTGATGTGAGCTCTTCTGTTTACGCCAGTTAGGAGCCTTGCTGCAGATTTCTGGACCAACTAAAGGTGGTCAAGGGCTTTTTTGTTAAAACGTGTGAAAAGTGTGTTACAGTAATCTAGATGGGAGGAGATAAAGGCATGGATAACCATTTCAAGTTCATGTTTTGACACCAACCTTTGCAGTTTGGAGATATTTCTTAAGTGATAAAAGTCATTTCGGACCAATGTTTCTGAGTGGCCTTCAAGAGACATTGATGGGTCAAAAACAACACCCAAATTCCTCAAGTTTGTCTTGACGGCAGAAGATAAGTGACCAAGTTTGTTGACTAATCAGGGGAGTCGTGTTCTCAGGGGCAATGATCAGACATTCAGTCTTTTCAGAGTTTAACTGAAGGAAGTTATCTTCTCGCCAGCTGGTGATAGCTGATAGGCACTCTTGTAATTCAGACAGTTTATTGAACTCGGAATCCTTAAAGGAGCAGTACAGCTGAATGTCATCTGCATATAGGTGATAAGAGACATTATGAAAAGACCCAATTATCTGTCCAAGAGGGTGTATGTAAAGTAGAAACAAAAGTGGACCCCAAACAGAGCCTTGGGGTACCACACAGAACAGATCAGTAGAATCTGACATGATTTGGTGTATACAGACACTGTAACTTCTGTTAGAAAGGTACGATCTAAACCAGTCTAGAACAGTTCCAGAGATCCCCTCCGAGTCACGAAGTCTGTTAATTCAAAAGCTGATAGATCAAAAGCTGCAGAAAGATCTAACAATACTAACACTGTGAGTTTCTTGTTGTCTGCAGCCATCATGATATCACTGGAAACTTTAAAGAGCAAGTCACCCCTACCAGAATCTTACTCCACTCCCACTTCCTGTTTGAAAAAATGCGACAAATGCTGTTGCCTGGCAGACCAAGAGGGCAGAGCCGCTAATAAATACACACACAGGCTCACAACGACACTGTGGTATCATAATGTACCAGCTAAAGTCATAGTGTACCTCTTAGCCAATAGCGATAGCAGATTTATATTCGATGTAGTGTTGAGTTTTTACCTGACGATGGCGCAACACTGATAGTTTTAGGCAGATTATTTAAAGTTTAACTGAGATGCACTAAAGTGCCAACTTATTGATTGCACATGTCTACAGCACTTTTTGACACTCATTTATATAGTTTATCAGCAAAAATAAGTTGATTAGGGGGTTACTTGCTACTAAAACTAAAGCTGTTTCTGTTTAATACTTTTTACGAAAACTAGATTGGAATTTGGCAAAACTGTTGTGTAGTTCCAGAAAAGTCATCAGTTGATCTGCTACAACCTTTTCCCAATATTTTAGAGATAAAGAGTCATTAAGAAATGGGTCTGTAATTTTTTAAATACCTAAATGCAGTTTCTCTGTACCAAGATTCTAGAACACTGCAGACAAATATTTAAAATAAGTTTTAAACATTCTAATCTGCTGGAAAAATAATTAAAATATTTCAACATTGTGTTCATGGGACATTTATTTTCAGTGCATGTGTTTTATTATTTTCTTGATTGTCATTTATTCCTGAATATTCATATTGTATCTGCTAATAAAATATTTGGTGCACAAATGTTTGAATCTGCAGAAAAAAATACCTTTTAAATTTTATTTTTAAAAAGTACAAAACAAAAATAAATTTTATTTAAATATGAATAAATAAAACATTAATAATTGTACAATTAAGTTAAAAAAAATTTAAATCTGAGACAGAAAACACTCACTTGCGACTGGCTGCTGGAGGGATTTGTGCTGCTGAAATCTGAGTATCTCTTCGTCTGTGGTGTGCAGATGCAGGACAGGAACTGGACATACTCATCTCTCACCTGCAGGGGGCAGTAGAATATCATTTATTTCTCCTGACATAATTCAACTCCTTTTCGCGCAGTGTTAGTGTTTAATTCAGCACTACAGTAGGCTTCCTGTTCACACTAAATCCCACCTGTTTAGACAGCAGGCAGTGCATGACGAAGACCAGGACACCCTGCAGGCTGTTGAGGATGGTGAAAAAGTATTCCACCACTGTCATGCCCTCATCAAACAAGAAGGCCCCGAACACCCACATCAGGCCCAGGATGCACATCTGGGCCACGGCAGTCACTGTGAAAGCTCTGTGAGAGGCAAACGTAAAGGAAACCGAGAGAACAGTGACTCACACTAGACTTGCGTGGGAAACCCCTCAAGAGATACAGGAATTTAAAAAAAGACCCAAAACAGCAACAAACAAACCCTTTTTCATGATTGTATTCTTGCTGAAGTCAGTAAAAGAAATGCTTAAAAGGAGGTTGCACCAAAACAGTCTCGACTTTGTGGTCATTGCAAGAATCCATGAATACTACTTTGTAAATCAGGTTATTTGAATCATTAAGTGGTTTTAGTTTAACCAATAGTTCAGTGCAGCACCAGGTATGTCAGCTCCACTTTACTAAGTTCAACAGGGACCAGAATGGTAACTCTGAAGTTGCAAGTGTTGCATTCTGGCCACAGGGGCAGTGGAGTGACATTTCATTTACCCTGTAAAGGGTCGTTTTAGCATATACTGGCTCAAGAAAATGATTTAAAAATATGAAAAATTTGTATAGCATCCCTTTAATTTCAGTGTGTCACAAGAAATTCACCCACATGGGTCACAGAGTCGTGCATGTGTGCAGACTGACCTAATTTTGTGCAGCTTGGAGAGGTCTGGGTTGAGTGTGGTGAACTTTTGTGCAAGCCTCCAGACAGTGATGATGAAGAAGAAGATGTTGAGGATGATGATGAAGCACACAGGCCCGAAAAAGCTCCAGATGAGACCATCCTTCAGGGACAGCCAGCAGCTGCAAATGAGAGGCCAAAGATAAATGTTTACATAAACTCACACATGCTCAAAAAACACCCAGTTTGTGCAATCCACTGATGTCATGCAAACAAGATTCTTTATGTCTCTTATGAGCTTCTATCTGCTCAAACAAAAAGGTGTGCCATTAATTGTCCTTACTGTTGCTTAGTGCCGTATCCCTTTGGTCTGATGATGGCCGACAACACAACGATGGCCAGAGGGATCCCATAACCAAAGAGGTACAGGTAGAGGGGCCGGATGGTGGCGTTAAACACCAGGACGACCATGCGGTACAGCTGCACACCTTCTAAAAGCATCCAGGTCATCACACCCAGGAAGAAGAAGTGGAGCAACCCAGCGACAAACCTGCAGCCTCCCTGTGAGGACACAGAGAGATAACAGGGTTAGTTCTGCCATGTTGCGGCATTGCTAATGCTAACGGTTAGCCTCTTCTAGCAAATATGCACTTTGCTCTCTCCTGGGTGCTAAATCAACAACAGCCTTGCCCGTCACGAGCCAAGATGAGTAAGTCCATGAATGTTAATTTGACTTTGTCATGTGCAGTGACTGGCTGTTTTAATCTAACACAGGAAATAGCATTGGAATATCAATTTTACATTCAGCCTGCATGCAAAAGTCAGAGTGACTGCTCATGTTAAAAAAATATATTTCTTAGTGAACCACTGATATTGGCTTTTCATCGACATTCGATATACAGATGTTGTATGTTGGTATGTGCTGTGTCCCCCTTCCATAACACCTCCTATCATACATGCTTAAACGTTTCTGTACAAACTGACAGTTTGTCTCCAGCAGCAGCTGAATCTTCTTTTCCCTAAGAGTGAGGCTAAGATGTGTGTATTAGTTAGTGATGTATTTTTTATGGCATATTGTATGGTGATAAAACATTAGTAAAGATCTTCAGATAAGAGAAGCAAGCCTTGGCTGAAGATTCTTGTTTTTGATTTAGTCGTTTGTGACTGCAGGAGAAGTAGTTCTACCAAATAAATGACAATATCTCAGGTATGATACGTAAAAGTCATGTTACTAAAAATCTGAAAACGATTTTACGATATGAAATTTGTATGCCGATATTGGCCGATGTTATTGGTAGACTGATAATATTAAACATAGTCAAAATTGATGGATATTACCCCTTACATATAGACAATTATGTTTAGTGGGATCAGTTGATCCAACTTAGTCAAGTAAATTCAACATTTCATTTCTTAGAGTGTACATTGGTGTCCAATCCTGGTCCTCAAGGGCCACCATCCTGCATCTTTTAGATGTTTCTGTGTACCATTACAGCTGTTTTTAATCAGGTCATTAACAAACTTCTGCAGCGCTTGATGACCAGCTGAAAAGGTAATTCAACCATTGAATCAGGTGCGTTAGAGCAGGGAAACAACCAAAATATAGGTGTGTGTGTGTGTGTGTGTGTGTGTGTGTGTGTGTGTGTGTGTGTGTGTGTGTGTGTGTGTGTGTGTGTGTGTGTGTGTGTGTGTGTGTGTGTGTGTGTGTGTGTGTGTGTGTGTGTGTGTGTGTGTGTGTGTGTGTGTGTGTGTGTGTGTGTGTGTGTGTGTGTGTGTGTGTGTGTGTGTGTGTGTGTGTGTGTGTGTGTGTGTGTGTGTGTGGCAAATGGGTTGTGGGATGGGGGTGTAACTGTCACAACTGCTTTTATATTTGAGGCGAAGGGATAGGATTATGGGTGATGCTGGGTCATTTTAATCTGTTAAGCACTTTGAGCTGCATTTTCTTTGTATGAAAAGTGCTATACAAATAAAGTTTGATTGATCGATCGATTGATTGATTGAAAACATGCTGGATCAGGGCCCTCAATAACCATAATTGGACACCGCTTATCTAATGAGTCACCATGGTGATGTCAACTGTGTGACATATGACCCTGTGTTTCCTAACCCAGTAGCTTCCTTGACCAAACAAAACTCAGCAACTTAAAAAAGAAGCAAATGACTGAAAGTAGATTAGAGAATAAAACAGAACCAAACCTTCTGACCTAAAAGTAATTGTGTCTTAGCTACAAACGCTATATTGTTATGCCTTTCTGACACACACTTCCTTAAAAGTCGTTGCACATTTACAAAGACGTTAATAGGGTGTGAAATAGACACCAGCAGTTGTTGATGCACAACAATTTAGCGGCGATAGAGTTGCTAGAGCTCATTAGTGGCTTTTAGGTTCCTGCACTAACACAGTGGTGCAAAGTACATGCAACAGTTAGGTAAATGAAAATGAATTAGCCTTAAATGTTACACACTTTAACGTTTACTGTTTTTTTATTAAATGAGGAACTTGTTTGCAAATAAAGGCTCAAAAGTGGAAGTTGAGTTTTTAAAAACAAAGATGTTGAGCAGCTTTAAATATTTAATATAAAATAAGTTTTGATAAAAGGGCAAACAACTAAGTCCTTCAGAGGTACTTCTGAGTTAAAAAATGTTCATGAAATACGTATGTGGAGTAACCAGGTAGATAGGTTTTAACTTTGCAAATCTGCAACGCCTGCCCCCAGAGGGTTAAAACTCTGATCGTCTTTGTTTTGGTTTTTTTTTTGCTGTTTTTTCATTTTATTTTTTTGGCTTTTCGTACCTCAGGTTCAGTTTGAGAAATGCCAACCAGAAAGACGAGGTCAGCCATGAAAAGGCAGATGCAGAGATGGAGGTGGATGGTGGTGCGAGTCCCCTGAATGGATCGGCAGAATTTAAACGTCAGGATGCTCAGAACCAGACACACCAGCGACAGGCTGAGTCCGATCTTGGTCAGCATTTCTAGTCCGTAGTCAGGCTAGAAGAGATGTGAAATATTAATGTTGTTTCTTTCAGACTGATGAAAAGGAAACAAGTACATCCTTTAGGAAATACACAGTGACTTATTCTCGGTATCCTCTTGTTGGGCAGTAGCCCAGGGAGATTTCTCGTAGCTAAAAATAGCTACATGCTACAAAAGTCAATGGAGTTCTTGAAACTAATCCAAATATATCATTACAAGCTGCAAAACCAAAGCAATCAGCTGAAAGGCTCCTTAAAACTCTCCAAGTAAGGATCTAGAAATAGGTTGTTATGTATCCAAGGGGTCAATTTTACCATAAAGTAGATGAGTAACCGGCCCCTGAGCCAAGAAGTATGCTAAGTCTGAGCCTAAATGGTACGTTTCTCTCTGTGTGTGTGTGTGTGTGTGTGTGTGTGTGTGTGTGTGTGTGTGTGTGTGTGTGTGTGTGTGTGTGTGTGTGTGTGTGTGTGTGTGTGTGTCTCCTACCTCCACGGGGTAAAGGGCCATCAGCACAGCAAAGCTGCTCAGATGTCTACATGTACACACAGTGTGTGTGGCATTGGAGTGTAGCTGAGAGCAACCATCTGTTGACCAGGCTCCGCTTTCTTTCCAGTACGCACACATGTAGCTCACCTCACGGGACTCCTCCATGTCCTAAACACAAACCAAAACCAGCTCTTCAGTGAACCACTCCATCTTTTAATTATATCCTCAGAGAACCTTAAACCCAGCTCTAAAGGCTGCCAGTAGACTGTAGACGTTCAGCGTAAGAAAGATGTGGAATTAGGCTGAACAGGAGATCAGGAGATATGTTCTTGGTGTTTTCTTTGGATTTCCTAGAATAGACTTTATTTTCCCCACTGTGGGATCAATAAAGTCTACTCTAAAAGGCAGAGAAGACGTTGGCTGACCTACCCTTAGATGTCCGAAGGTGATGTTGACCGAGCTGCTCAGGTTCTGAGTGGACGGGTTGGAAACCACAACAGAAACGATTTTGGAGAAAATCTGGAAAGACCCGTCTTCTTTTTCATCTTCTTTTTCAATCTCCTCAAAAGACCTGTTCATTGATCCCTCGAGGTTCTTGTAGCTCAACAATGCCGCCAGAGCAAAACCTATTGAAGAAAAAAAACGGTCATGTTTTTGCACGAAATGCATTTTTATTTCCTTCTTAAAGCAGAAGCAGAGTTTACCAGGGTATTGCCCCGTCCCCGCTGCTGTTGTCCAGTCGGTGTTCAAACTGGCAAATTCATTGGTCAGATGAAGCGGTCCAGTTGGTCGGGTTTTTCCTCTTTGAACAGCGATTTGTGCATCTGTTCACGTGAAACAAAGTAAGTTCTGTTCATCTTCATAAAAGGAATTAATCTGAGAGTTTATGGATTAAAAGTCGATACCCATCTCAGTGGTCCCCATCTTGGTGCCGTTGCCTTTGAGCTGAGGACCGATCAGTAAAATGGAGTTCTCCATGGTACCGAGCAGCCCGCTCACATCTGCACTGGTTATCACAGGTCCAGGAGACAGAATCGAATCGGTCGCTGTCAAAAGTTTCTGTTCAGAATGCAAAACGCGTTAGGGGAATTGAGCAGTTTAGCACTAATCCCTCTTTTTTTTCTTTAATTTTTTTAATACAAAAGTTTTTCTTGAAGAAAAAAGTAAAAAAATAAATGCAGAATTTAAATTTTCTTAAACTTAAATTGTTTTTAACATTTACAGATGGTTTAATCTGATAAAAGAAAGTCCCATTCATTTAAATCCTAAATGGATTCTCTGACGATTGTTTGCCTGAAATGCAAAATATCCAATTATGAAGATCTTCGATAGGATATCTTTGTGGTTTTGGTTTATGTTTTTTCTGAATGTGTCTGGTTGTGTTTCGTGTCTTTGTCGAACCTCTAGCAGCGCCTCTCCATTGGCCTTCCCTTCACCAGGAACCGTTGAGTCAGATAAAGCCAAACAGCTGTTTTTCATCATGGACAATATGTCTGCCAGGCCTCCAAGTGACTGGGAGACACAGACGGAGAGAATAAGGAGCCCATTCTTCTTCTCACTGACTAGACTTTATGAACACAAAACCCTAAAGAGCCGCAGGCCGCTCTGGTGAACAGAGAGAATTACAGTGTTCTCACAGGAAATTAGACCAAGAATCATCAAGCTACTCTGGAGCGGAGGCTGGGTGTTTAACTTTTATATCATCTGAATCAGTCTGTAACAGCTGCAGTACAGTCTGAAGCTTATCTCCAAACTCACCTGTGAAGGATTTCTGACAGAGAAGCTGTCACAGTTGAGCTCTAGAGGGGAAAAAAACAGACCAAATATTTATTATCGTCACACCAGCTGACTCTAATTCAGTCATTTAAAACAGATAAGAGACAAAACTGCAGAAAAGCTGCAAAGAGCAGTGGCTCAGGATTAGATTAGTCAGATAGCGACGCTCAAACAACTGCTGACAAAAGTCCAAAACATATCAAAAAGTTGCTCCTTTTGCTTTAAGAAGCAGTTAAGAATAAAAATCATAATGTGCATGTTTTGTAAAAGTTGTGTCCATAAACTTACTTGAGCATGGCGTCCTTTCGTTGTCATAGTTGGTGTATCCTTTTGGACATTTGCACCAATAACTCCCATTAATGTTCTTACAAGTTCCCTTAACACCACAAATGGATTCATGGTTTTTCTCGGCTTCGTTGCATTCATCTATATCTGCAGAACAACAAATCAGAGAAAAAATAAAAACAAGTTTTACTAAATCAACACATTCTCACACCCAAGCAGTAGCGGTTTTAGGCACGGGCAGACAGGGCAGTTGCCCGGGGCGGCATTTTTTCATGACACAAAAGGGGCGCACAAGCGCGGAGTAAAAAAAAAAAAGGAAATCTGCGCCGCACCGAGGTTTTCTATTATCTGTCATATGACAGTGTCTGGATTGGAAACAGCAAGTTGGCGCCCCCTGCAGTTGCAGGCGCTCCTGCTGACTGAGAACGTTCACGTGCACCGTGTGTCTATGAAGAACAGGAAGGGGAGGGGTGCGGCGGGGGAATTCACCTCTGCGTCTTTCCCAAATGAAATGAGCGTGCAGGGGCTGAATCAACTGTATTAACATGGCTAAAGTCAATCACATCTTAACGTTCTTCCATATTTCATTCATAATATCATAAACACAGGCCTATCATTCTTTCAGGTTTCTCTGAATTGTGTGAAATGGCCGAATAAAAAAAGGAAAAACAAAACGATTTTGTGTTCACCCCCCCATCAAGGTCAAATTGTTTAGTCCTGACTAAAGGAAACTTACTGAGTCAGGAGCCAAACAGAAGAGATGAACATAAAAAGGCTAAAACCACCAGGTGCCCCATTCAGGGGGAAAAAAGAAAACAGAGCAGAAAGATAAAGGTATGTAGCTCTCATGATGCATGTTTTCAATTTTTTGAACCAGTTAACTGGGATTTTAACGGTTAAATGTGGTCAACTAATTGCTAACAGAGCTAATAGGGCTGAAATATTTAAACGAATATTCAAATGGTTTGAAAAAAGTCCTTGAATCGTTTTTTACTGATTCAAACTAGGATTTGTTAAATGCTCGCTGCAGCATGTGGCCTGCCTGAACAACAACAAACACATGTTGATCATGTTCACATAATAATAAATAAAACAACTCTACAAGCAGAAGAAAACTCCCCAGTCACCACTAACTATCCTGTTTGTTTATTGCAGATGGCTGCACTGGTTATTTTTTACATGATTTGTTCTGTAAAAGTTGGCATTTTTGGTAGTCTACAGTTTTTTTTATGTCAGTTTAAATTACAATTTCAGAGGCAATTCTAAAATATTATGGATCATGAGATCTATTGGAGATCTACCCCAACTTTTGGACTGCTCTGCCAGTCACTGTGGCTCAAGCTGAGAGGAGCTTTTCAAAACTTGATCAAGTCATACCTGAGGTCACCTATGTTTCAGGGGTGGCTCACTAACCTGGTTCTGATTAGTATCAATCACTCAGTAGGGGAGCAGATTTCATATTATTCACATTATTGATGACGTTGCATCAAGGTTAGGTTTTAATTTTAGTTTGTGTTTTCTGTTCTAAGTGCAATGCTGTAGTGATTATCTTTAGTTTGTTTTTTGATTTTGATTTTGATACAGTATATAATGTATAGTGCTTTACATTCTGACAACTTCATAGTAATTAATGTAAATATGTGCAACTTAGAAAAATGAATGTTCAATAGTCCTTCTAATAAAACATGCCTGTTTGTAGAAAACATGCGTGTGTTCATGCAGGTGGGGTGGTGTGGTGGTGGTGGTGGGGGGGGGGTTGGGGGGGGGGCGCTCAAAGGGGGCCTCGCCCGGGGAGTAATTCGATGAAGAACCGCCACTGCACCCAAGGCGTCAAAATATGACGCGTGTGACCAAGCCTCAATATATGACGATTCGGGACGCCCCAGCGCGTCAGGAGACGACGATCAGGGACACGCTGGATCACGTGGCTCCGCTGGCGTCACTGTTTGACGTGCGCGGTCACGTGGACATTATTCGACTATTTAACCTTCCCCTCACCCCAATCCTAACCTCAAGGTCCATAAACTGTGACCTTAAGATTAGGATTGGGGTGAGGGGTTAAATAGTTCACAAGTAGTTCTAATGTCCGTCTCACCACCGGCGTCGGATACCGACGCTCTGGGACGCTGCGTCAGTTGTTTGTCCCTGATCGTCGTCTCCTGATGCGCTGGGGCGTCCCGAATCGTCATATATTGAGGCTTGGTCACACGCGTCATATTTTGATGCCTTGGGTGTGAGAATGTGTTGGCTAAATCAGTTTTGCAGGAGTTGGTCAAGTCAGTTGATGATAATATTTACCCAGAAACACACTTGTGTGGAAGATGAGTGAATCCGTGGACTCTATTAGCCTTTGCGGACAACTCCTCCCACTTTTCATCTCATATTTAATGTTAAACAAAAAACAAATCTAGCAACACGTCTACAATCAGACTCAATAGTTGTCCTCAGTGAACTGTTCTAACAGAATCTTCTCCAGACGGATATAGGACACATACAGTGCGTTTACATGCAGCCAGTAACCCTTTAAAAACCCAAATATTCACAATAACACGGCTCCGCAGGTCCGTGTAAACACCGCCAGAAACCCGGATATGCTCATAACCGGGTTTTTAAAAACCCGGTTACTACACCTGGGGTAACCCTTTTTTAACCCGAATGTTTGGTCGTGTAAACGCATACCGGGATATCCCCATCAAAGCGTGTGTTCTGCGCATGCTCTGTTCGCAAGGAATCTCGGTCTTTTGAGTAGCGAGACGGCTTGTATGCGCCAGAACACCGGAAGTAAACAACAAGTTGGGGGCAAAATGGCGAGTCGCGGCACAGCACCACACTTTCGGAGTGACGAGGAAACTAAAGCGCAAACAAACGCGGTCGCTATCTCTTCCGAACTGGGAAACATGTTGTTGTTTTCACGGATACCGGAACGAGAAGAACTGGAAATGACGCATATTGCGTCTGGACGTAGTCCACACGTCCTGACACTACCCCAACGTCCGCATTTACATCGGGTTATGCAAGATAGGGGTAACTCTTTCTATTTGTGCTTGTAAACGGGTTATTCTGATCAACTCAGAAACCCGAATGCCGATCTTAACCCGATCATAACCCGGATATTGGCTGCATGTAAACGTACTCATAGACATCTTTTGATGCACGTTCCATGTGCTGATGTGTTTTGCCTTCCTTCTGCCATTTTTAGTTGATGTTATTTTATTAAAGCACCACAAGACATGAGCTACTAAAATACTTTACAAAATTAAAAGGGAAAAAAGCATCTGAGTAAAGGTTTTGTCAGAGCTGTCAGAGTAACTCCTGGCTTAATCTCAACAACTATCATGCATTTTCTCCTTCCTGTTTCTGCAGAAAAGTTGATCTGAATTGCACCGTTGCCCTCAGGAAGCCTTACTGTTGCCTTACTTGGTTTGTTCTGATGCACTAATAGGCTTAGAAGATGTTTTCTGGACAACAGAGATTACTGAGCCAGTTTACTTCCATAAATCTTCTCTACTTGTGTTATTGTTACACCGTGTTTCAGCATTTATCAAAACGATCTCTGTTGAATAAACTGCATGACGTTATGTCTGCGTGAAACTTAGACTCCGAGTGTTTGTACTCGTTGTGAGTGATTATGCACTGCAAAATCAACAAAAAAATCTGTTAAGATTAGGAGCAGATATGTGGCAGAGGTGATCTCCATCAAGTGGAGTTACGTTCGTCTTCACCAGCGCAAGTCTACTTGCTGCCAATAATGTAGTTTCTTTATTTCTCCAAATATCTGTTGAGCAAATCAAACAAAGACTGCACTGTGAGTAAAAAAACAAGTATTTTTCCTGTCATACAACAGTGATGAAAGGAGGACCCAAATGCAGGCACATAAACAGGCAGACGGTTATTTATGCTTATTCATACTCAACAAAGCGCCGCTAAAGCAGGAAATCCTACAACAGAAAACCGAAGGATGAGACGGAGACACACTAACAAAACAAGGAGACAGCAACAAGAATTTTCACAATAGACCAAAAGCACAAAAGATTATTTATCCTGATGGAAGAAAAAACAAGCACGATTTAGGTGATAAAGAAATTGGACCAGATATGAAGAGAAAGTGCGATTTCACCAAGAAAAGAGAAAAATACAAAGAAAAGCAGCAGCCGTTCAAATGATGAACCCTGTAAAATGGAATTAGGATTGCCTAAAAAACAAAAGTAATGAAAAAATAACAATTGAACAGGAACACTGCTTCTCTAAATACAAGAGAGGTGTCACGTTGTGGGGATGTTTAGGAGCCAAATATGCAGATTACCCAGACGACAAGAGGCAGAAGTTGATTCAAAGTAAAGATCCTTTATTTTGCAGGATGAAAGAACAAAAATTAATCCAAGGCAGTGAGCTAAAGTCCAAAAGTCCTGGAGCACAGGACACCCAAAGTTCATTTGACTGGGAAGATGAGAGGGAGATGAATTGCAGGTGTGTGGGGAGAGGGACCAGGTGAACATAATTACTAACTCAGGGAGGAGGAAGAAAACACTGGTGGGAAAAAACACACTAAATAACAAAAGGCTGTAACAAAGGAAAATGACCTAAGAGAAAAACAAAAGACCAGAAGGCATGAACCATAACTAATATTCTAAGGGGAAGCTGACACTAAAGGAAAACACTACAGCAGGGGTGTCCAATCCTGGTCCTCGAGGGCCGGTATCCAGCACGTTTTTGTTTTAACCTGCTTCAACACACCTGATTTCAATCAGCAGGTGATTAACAGGCTTCTGCAGAGCCTGATGAACTGCTGCACAGGTGATTCAACCAGCTAATCAAGCGTGTTGAAGCAGAAAAACCACAAAACCTGCTGGTTACCGGCCCTCCAGGACCAGAATTGGACACCCCTGCACTACACAAAGAAACTACAGGGGCGTGGCTAAGAGGGGTCTAAGAGAGCGACCTGGGAGAGGGACGTCTGAGGAGGGAAACCTAGAGGGCAAATGGGGAACACCAGGAGACACATGAGGAAGACGCAGACACGACACATGAGGGCACTAGAAGACACAAAAGGAGCTCCTAGAGACGAATGAGGACAAAAGGAGACACATGAGGTGAGACGCAGACACAGACCATGACAAGAGGAACTATTCTCCTCTAAGGTTTGCTAAAGTGAACTCATTTGCTGAGTGTCGAACGGAAGACTGATATTTATTTGCAAAAGTCCCTAAATTCTTTTGCAAATGGTTAAATATTACACAATGCTGGAGGGGCTTTGATCAGTGTGGCCAGTTTTATTCTTCATAATCTCATAACATACTTTATAATGTTGACCCAAAAAAATGTTAGCCACAAGGCAGAAATCAACTTTACCTAATCATAAACAATCCAATGAGTTTTACTTTAGAAGCAAAGGCTCATTTTCATCTGCTAATTCAAATCATCAATTAAAAATGCCTAAAACATTTGTCAAGCACAAACAATATGAACAACGTTCAAACTCTCCTAACCTTGCCCCAACTAGGCTAGGCAAGGCAGCTTTATTTATATAGCAGCAATTCAATGTGCTTTCCATTAGCAAGAATAGCATGAATATTCAAATCAATGAGACAGCGTAGTTCAAATACACAAATTAATTTCAGATTTAGGAGACATAAAAAGGTTAAAAGTTAAAGGGTGAGCAGTTGCAGTGCAGAAGGTGCAGCTTAGAAAGAGTCATTCAAACGTAAAAGTTACTAGAGTCGGGGCAGATTTGACGTCATGAGGAAGCTGATTCCATCTGTGAGCAGCATAATAGCTCACCCTGTTTGGTTCTGACCCAGGGTTCTGCCAGCTGACTGTTTCCTAAGGATGTCAGAGCCCTGCTGGGTGTACAGGTCCTTCTAAAAAAATTTGCATATTGTGATAAAGTTCATTATTGTCTGTAATGTACTGATAAACATTAGACTTTCATATATTTTAGATTCATTACACACAACTGAAGTAGTTCAAGCCTTTTATTGTTTCTAATATTGATGATTTTGGCATACAGCTCATGAAAACCCAAAATCCCTATCTCAAAAAATTAGCATATCATGAAAAGGTTCTCTAAACGAGCTATTAACCTAATCACCTGAATCACTAATTAACTCTAAACACCTGCAAAAGATTCCTGGGGCTTTTAAAAACTCCCAGCCTGGTTCATTACTCAAAACCGCAATCATGGGTAAGACTGCCGACCTGACTGCTGTCCAGAAGGCCATCATTGACACCCTCAAGCAAGAGGGTAAGACACAGAAAGAAATTTCTGAACGAATAGGCTGTTCCAAGTGTGCTGTATCAAGGCACCTCAGTGGGAAGTCTGTGGGAAGGAAAAGTGTGGCAGAAAATGCTGCACAACGCGAACAGGTGACCGGAACCTAAGGAAGATTGTGGAGAAGGACCGATTCCAGACCTTGGGGGACCTGCGGAAGCAGTGGACTGAGTCTGGAATAGAAACATCCAGAGCCACCGTGTGCAGGCGTGTGCAGGAAATGGGCTACAGGTGCCGCATTCCCCAGGTCAAGCCACTTTTGAACCAGAAACAGCGGCAGAAGCGCCTGACCTGGACTACAGAGAAGCAGCACTGGACTGCTGCTCAGTGGTCCAAAGTACTTTTTTCGGATGAAAGCAAATTTTTGCATGTCATTAGGAAATCAAGGTGCCAGAGTCTGGAGGAAGAGTGGGCTGAGGGAAATGCCAAAATGCCTGAAGTCCAGTGACAAGTACCTACAGTCAGTGATGGTCTGGGGTGCCATGTCAGCTGCTGGTGTTGGTCCAATGTGTTTGATCAAGGGCAGGGTCAATGCAGCTAGCTATCAGGAGATTTTGGAGCACTTCATGCTTCCATCTGCTTTATGAAGATGAAGATTTCATTTTTCAGCACGACCTGGCACCTGCTCACTGTGCCAAAACCACTGGTAAATGATTTACTGACCATGGTATTACTGTGCTCAATTGGCCTGCCAACTCTCCTGACCTGAACCCCATAGAGAATCTGTGGGATATTGTGAAGAGAAAGTTGAGAGACACAAGACCCAACACTCTGGATGAGCTTAAGGCCGTTATCGAAGCATCCTGGGCATCCATAACACCTCAGCAGTGCCACAGGCTGATTGCCTCCATGCCACGCCGCATTGAAGCAGTCATTACTGCAACAGAATTACCGACCAAGTATTGAGAGCACAACTGAACATAATTATTTGAAGGTTGACTTTTCTTGTATTAAAAACACTTTTCGTTTATTGGTTGGACAAAATATGCAAATTTTTTGAGATGTGAATTTTGGGTTTCCATGAGCTGTATGCCAAAATCATCAATATTAGAAACAATAAAAGGCTTGAACTATTCAGTTGTGTGTAATGCATCTAATATATATGAAAGTCTAATGTTTATCAGTACATTACAGAAAATAATGAACTTTATCACAGTATGCTACTTTTTGAGAAGGACCTGTAAATGCCGGTAGCAGATCCGACATGTATTCTGGCCCCATGACACTGAGTGATTTATAAACTGGTAGAAGCAATTTGAATGCTTTGAATGTCATGTCCTCTTTTATCACATTCATAAATCTCATTTTTGGTCTTCCTCTCAGCTTGGTGGCTCCAACCTCAGCATCCTTCTACCTACAAAATCATCGTCTCTCCTCTGGACATGTCCAAACCTTGCAGTCTCTGACTTCATCTCCAAAACATCTAACATAAGCTGTCATCTGCAAACACCAAACTCCATTGAGAATCCCACCTAACATCATCTGTCAGCCTGTTCATTACCAAAAAGAACAAGAGGGGGCCCAGAGCCGATCCTTGATGTACACCTTACTGCTGTCTCACTGTCTTTAAATCCACGCAGCTCTCTCTGAACTTCTGTTTCCATTAGAATCTTTGAAGCAAAAATGAGCTTCCTAAAACTGATACTTGAATCATTTCTGTGCAGTAATTTAAGGTACTTCTCCCTCATTTGTTTTGTGAATTTAATTGCATTTAAAGTAAAAACACTCACCTTCACACTGAGGTGCGATGCTGTCGTTACTTCTTTTGATGTACCCAAAGTTGCACTTGCAATTGTAGCCCCCGATCATATTATTACATTTAGCCATGTGACCACAAATGGTTTTATTTTTGGCACATTCGTTGATATCTGAGAGGAAGAATTGAGGAAAGCGTCAACAATCAACTACAGAAACACACTTCATCACACACACACAAACTTACCAAGGCACTGCCCCTCCTGAAATTTGAATTCACGAATCCCTTTTGAATTTTCAAACCCGTCATTGCACAAACAGTGGTAGCCGCAGCTCGTATTGATGCACGTTGAATATTTTCCACACTCGTCTTCCACGCACTTTTCTGTGGTTTAAAAACACACATAAGGTACAGCAAAATAATAATTATCATTACTGTTGCAGATCCTTTTAGTTTGCTTTATTTCAAAGTTATGAAAAGTTTTGCAAGTGATATTTTAGTTTTCATTCTAATAAACAGGAAAACAGATTGCAGACAGAAATCTGAAATAATAAATTGAATATTTACCTCCACAGTTTCCACTTTCTTCTCTTGATTCACATAAACAAGACTTCAGCAAACACACAAACCCTGTGGAGTAAAACAGACACAACGTTTGAAACAATCACATAAATATTCTAAAATAACCATCCCAACATGATATTTATGATATGTATTTGTGAATTATTAAACTATTTACCCCTAATGTGGACGTCTGCCTTTTTTTGCTCACATGACTAATTTAATTGTATAAACTGGGTTTAATTAATATTTGTGAGTATTTTGTATTTCTGCAGTTATTACATTTAATAAAAAAAATTTAAACCCACAGATCATAAATACCTTCTTAATGAATTCTTCTTTTCTGCAGAGTCTGAGCAATAAAACACAAAACTAACATTGTCATGGATTCTCAGTTACGATTTTAAAGCCCAGTATTTCTATACCAAACAAAACATTGGAGGTTCTTGCCAAGTTGCCTGGATCTGAGCTAAACTGTGGACATGGCCGAGTTTCTGAACAAACATCTGCTGAGCTACAGTAGATCATTTAGAGTCTGTAGGAGGAGCTGACGAGTGAAACATCAGGGAGATAAGAAGAAGCTGGAGACAACAGAAAACCCCTAGATGTCATGGTCTGCGTCTGTGTCTTCCTTCATGTGTCTTCTGATGTTTCTCCACCCCTCTCTAGATTCCCTTCTGTGTCTCATAGCGCCCTCATGTGTCTTTTGTCTGCGTCTCAGTTAAGTGTCTTATGTTGTTCCCTTTTTTTTGTCATTCCTCCCAGGTCAGCTCCAGCCTCTTTGTCCCCAGCTCAGTGTGTGTGTGTGTGTGTGTGTGTGTGTGTGTGTGTGTGTGTGTGTGTGTGTGTGTGTGTGTGTGTGTGTGTGTGTGTGTGTGTGTGTGTGTGTGTGTGTGTGTGTGTGTGTGTGTGTGTGTGTGTTATGTCCTCCTCCAGCTAGTTTGTGTGAGCCCTTCCCTCTGTCTTTAGATATTGTTTAGTTTTGTGTTTAGGTATTTGCCCGCCTCTGTTTCTGTTTTCCCAGGTAGATTATTATATTCACCTGTCTTCCCTCCAGCCCTCACTCCACACACCTGCTGCCAATTTCCCTAATTACTCCTCCCTGTGTATTTAAGCCCTGTCTTGTCTCTGCCTTGTGTCGGTCCATTGTTGTATTTCTGTCAGCATTCGTTCGTGCTCTGTCTGAGCTTTTTTTGTCTCTCGGTCTTCGTGCGCTTAGTGAGCTTTTGGTCTCCAGTTGTTGGTGCTCTAAAGAGAGCTTTGGGTGTCCTGTCCTCCAGGACTTTTGGACTTTTGGCTCGCTGCCATTTTGGATTTATTTTTGTTTCTTCCTAAATAAAAGGATTTTTACTTTTACCAACTTCTGCCTCGAGTCATCCTGGGTATCTGCATATTTGGGTCCTAAACATCCCCACCTCGTGACACTGGATGGGAAATCTAGTAAATAAACATTAACAGCAGGTTTAGTGGAGAGAATCTGAACATGGACCCAGGATCATATTTCTAGCAGATATAAGATCAGGAAGAAAATCAGAGATTTCTTCGACAAGCAGATCAGCTGAAGATGAGAAAGTTCTGCCTGATGGCTAAAAAGGGTTGATGAAGCAAAGACCCACTGGATCATAGCAGCACCAGCATGAAAAACTCTATATATGAAAGCAATGGCACAAAAATCAAAGCTAAAATAATGTTAGCTATTGTCACGGAGCAGATGGAAAGTAGAGAGATAACACACACGGCTCATTCTAAACTCAGGAAAACTCAATGATTCTTATTTTGTAGTTCACACAAATAAAAGTGTTATTCTGAATCCTAAAGTAAGTTTTGGCCATAAAGATGTCACTAAACCAGTGGCCTCCAAACTGGGGCCCCTGGACCCCCAGGAGCCCACAAGCCACAAATTGGGAATCTGTTAAGCAGACATAGTGGGACCTGAAGACACATATACACCCCCTGAGGTAGAGCCAATTAGCTAAACTGACTTATTCTAAGTTTGTGAAGTCATCAATGCAAGAAATTTAAAGTGACAGTGTGTAGTTTCCCAGCGATAAGGGGCTGTACATACCTAAATCATCGCAAGCATTATTTGTGTGTTCAAATAAGACCATATAAATAAGAACAGATGGCTATTAGGGTCAAAAATCTCTGGGATGGCAACCTCCAGGAAAATGACAATCACATCAGATTGTCATTCATCACTGGCAACAAGTGAAGAGGTAAATGTGTAAAATAATGTTTATTATTGGTCAGAGTTTTGTAACCATTTGTTACAAATCAGTAAATGTGTTTTGTCCTCACGGGCTTCCGTAGAAGGAAACATGGCATCCAATTTTGCGTCGTCCAGAGACTTAGGCCCAATCTCAATACTTGCACTGCATCCTGCAGTCTTCAGGAAAGTGCACTTGGAGAAAGTGTGCTGTAAGGCTTCGAGTGTGCAGTAAACAAGTGTGCAAATTGAAAAATTGACACGGGGAGCATTGCGTCACCGACCGCAAAGCATGCCGGGATGCTGGTCGCTGTGATCCTTTTTTTTAAAAAACTTTCAAACAAATAGCCAAACAATTATTTGAAATAAATTTACATTCATTACTGCTTTGTCAAAAACATTCAAAGCATCAACTATTTGTCCTAAAATGAACTACTTTCATTAGAAAATGCATATTTTCTGAAAAAGAACATGAGCCGTTTGTCCCGTAGCAATGGATTGTGGGTAATACCCAACCATCACCCAAGTCCACATCGCTGCGGATCAAGGGTGCAAAAGGGATGTGCTCAACTTCCGCACTTGAGAATTGAGACACCCTATGCACTCGCACCCCTGGTCGGGATCATGCATTTGAAGAGCGCAAGGGTGGAAGCGCGAGTATTGAGATTGGGCCTTAGACCCGCATGTATTTTAGACCAGAGTTTTATGGTTATATGTTATGAAGCCGCCGATATTTTTAAACAACTGGGCATCTTGTCATTCATTTACAACCACGTTTCAACTGATATTTCCAGAGATTAATGGTAAAAAACTACATTGTCACTTTAAAGTCTGGTTTTATGGGGAATGATGATGGAAGACCTAAATGTGTCGTGTGTTTTCAGCAAAGCAATACAGCAGCCAGGTTAAAGATAAATCTCATCACAAAGCAGTCTTAGAATAAAAGGAAAGAGTTATTCTAGTGATGGGCTGAGGTTTACACACCTCAAAAATAAATTAAAAAAAGGTGAACCTGGCCACACAAGGGGGTCTTTGGAAACATTACACCCTCTCTAAGGGATCCCTGGTCATCAGAAGCCTGGGAACCCTGAGCTAAAGACATGAACTTTAAACACACCGGAAGACTTGTCAAAACATAGTTTGTAACTTGTAGGTCAAGAGGAGGAAGAGTGTGAATCATCCTCTGTCTCAGTTCCCATAAATTCACAGCATAGAGTGTCACTAACCATTCAGTTGGCCTCAGACTTATTTATTTTTAAATATTGTTAATTCTGATGTTTTCACACATAGCCGAGTCTGTTTGCTTTCTCCTATGTTTCCCCTGGCAGCCATGATGCACCATCAGCACGACAAAATAAATCAAGCCTGAAATCAGGCAAACGTCAGTCACATTTCCATGACTAAGGAGAAGCTGCAGAAAATGGCTCTCTGTACACATGGTGTTCCCATATCCAGCCACTGTTTCCCTCCTTTGACCACAATGAGCCTTCTGTTGTCTTGACGATCGAGGCTGGAGTCTCACATTAAGGCCCAGGGCACACCCGACGTGGTCCAACAGTAGCTCTAAGTGTGTGACAAACTGGGACTGAGGTGCTTTTATGATGCGGATGAAAACGGCGCAGAAGAGCAGCTTCGTCTCACTAGAAAGCTTCAGAACGTTCTCCACTTGTTTAAATTTCTTTTCAAACTGTGTGTGTTGTGATATTACATCAGCGCTACACAGCAACAGCTCTTTTCTCTCAGGTAGGTTTTACTTCTAACGGGGCAGTTCAGACTTTTTTATTGGATTATGGACAATTTCAGGAGAACTTTATTGATCCCTCATGAAGGTTTCTCTGGGAAATTCAGTTTCCAATAGTAGCTCATTGACAGAAAAGGAAGAAAGAAAATAAATTAATTATATAAGGAGAAAAAGAATATATGAAAATGGGGGAAAATGAAAATATATCCGCCGTTCTTACACCACATCATGATAATCTAGGGTACATTGTAAGATCTAACTATTTTTAGATAGCTGTTTGAACAACCTCAATTTCGAGAAAGAAAAATCTGATGTGCATTGACATGCTAACGGCTAGTTAAGTTTCTTTGCTTTTTAAAAAGTTCTAAACACAAAATGTCTGGATAGTTTACTCACAAACTCACTCGTTCGTCTTTTATTGTTCAATATTTGTTCAGTAAGGTCATGTGGAGCTGGTGAATTTCTCCAGCAGCATTCAGGCGAGTGATGGGGGACACCTCGAACACACATGCACGTGGAGAGCATGCTAACTCTGAGCAGAAGGATCATGATGGGAGGCAATAGTGCTGCCAACTGCACCACCATGCAGACACAGAACTAAATACCTGTTTATGCAGCAAAAAAAAATTGGAAATATGTGGAAGATCAGTCAAAAAATGACTAGCCTGGTTAACCATCCTGTATCTGTGAATATATCTAGCTACGATCCACTGAATAAACCCAGTTATGGATTGGAGCCTATGGTTAACATTCAAATTGGCTCTGCACTGAATTGACAGCTCTTGGACCAATCAGACTTAACATATTCATCGCTACGATTGTCAGTCAATGGGGCAGTCGGCCATACACCATCGAAGAAGAAGCAAAGACATCCGGTTTCAAAATAAATGACCTAAGTACCTCTGTCTGCTCATGTCTCAAAGCAAAGCACAAGTCTAATTTGTTCAAAGCCATTTATTCCTGAGCTGACACCATCTTTGTATTTTTTCTCCATCGTAGCTCTAGCGTTAAGCCTGTCTAACAAACATAGAGCGATGTGGTTGGCAAAGCACAAAACTGCCCAGGCCAATGGTCAACCTGCTGAGGCTACAATGGAGCGTGGCTGGACCGACCTGCAGAGCTGAATCTTTTGCCACCGTTACTGTTTGTCTAGATTTCTAGGCTAAGAAAAAACAGGATTAATGTGTCAAGACTAACTGGACCTATACAACAGGTGTGGCATTATAACTTCATAGCCTTTCCACAATAAACCCACTTCATTAGATGCAAAGTGTTCTTTTACGGAAGGCCAGGGATTTGTCTCATTTAATCCAAGACGCCAGTGCAGAAATGAACCAAAAAGTATTATTCCATGTGGGATGCCAGTTTCCTTTAGCTGCACTTACAGCTTTTATACAATTTTATTTTAACAAACTACCAGTCTGAGTTGTATCATCTGGAAATACTCACAAAGGTGGGCCTGACTATGTTCTGGGTGTTGTGTCTGTCTGAATACCTGTGGACATATCTTATCAACATAATAGACTCTGATCTGTGAATGGAGGAGTGATTCCATATTCCGGGTGTGTTATAAAACCAAAAGCTGAATGGTGATTCACCCCCAGCAGATGTTTTATCTGTCTGGAATCAAACCTTTATTCAACAACTTTTGTCAGTCTGGAGATCATCTGATGTTTGGGAAAATCCACTTTGGTTCAGATAGGAAATTCTGCTGAAACTCATCACTCAAAAGTTACAGGAATACATGTGTACTGCTGCTAACTTAAAACAGTAGCTAGAGTTACCGAGGTAAAGGTTCAGATAAACACTTTTCATCTCTTTACATGCTCCAACATGATGCACCGTTTCTCTGTGGCTACCAGTTGTTTCAATGAGGTTTGGTGTTTTATACAAGTCTGTTTTAATCTAAAAAATACTCAAAAACTCCCTGAGTCGGTTCAGTCTCCACTTTTTGAAACATCCTTGTGGACCATTATCACAAACTGGCTACAAAACCCAGTCCTGATCCTAAAGCATCCAGATGGAGTATCAGGAGTACCTTCATCAGAAACCAGCCATATCCAGTCCTGAACATGTCTGCTGCCCTCTAGTGGAGGATCTACAGTTGGCAAGTGCCAATTTTATTTATTTATTGCTGTCATGTTGTGCTATAATGACATTATACAATAAAAATATTATTATAGTTATATTAACAGTAGCCACTATATACTTTAATTATTTCAAATGAGCTTTCAAGTTAAAGTCCCATTAGTCATCATCACACGGGTGAAATTACATCTCCGCATTTGACCCCAGCAATGAGCTGCAGCAGTGGCTGTGCTCAGGAACTATTAGGTGGTTTAACCCCCTAGTCCAACCCCTTAAGTGTCAAGCGGGGAGGCATTGGGTCCCATTTTTAAAGTCTTTGGTTTTACCCATCGACATTAATACTGGGATTTGGACCCCAATCTCCCAGGCTCAGGGCAGACACTCAAACCACTGAGAAGGTAAAGGCGACCCTTTTTATGAACTCTGTAAAGTTTTTCTGTAAACTCTTTGACAGAATTACAGTTGTGTAATAGTAATCTGTCCTCTAACGGACCCACAAACAGCTGAGCACACTTTAAAGCTGATCAATTAAAGATTTTTTTATAAATAGGGAGTCCAAAATAAACATAATTATTAGGGTTTCAACGCAGCCAGAAACATTCATCCATCCATCCATCCATTGTCTGAACCCGCTTTGTCCACGTAGGGTCGCGGGGGGGGGGCTGGTGCCTATCTCCAGCGGTCAATGGGCCGGGGTACAGCCTGGACAGAGAGCCAGTCCATCGCAGCAGCCAGAAACAAAAATACACAAAAGAAAAACATACCTCCATCTGCAATCTGCAGGCTACTCAATAACATTGTTATTCACTTATTATTTTAATAAATTGTTTTTACCTTTGAAGGGAGGAAATGATTCATGTGATAAATACTATAAATGTCAAGTTTTAATGCCCTGTTGGGTTGTTGTTTTTTCCTCAAAAAGTGATGTTTGTTCTTTCCTGTGGTAAAACTAGTGAACTCTTCAGAAAACGATAAGTTTTAATCAAAAACTTCATCAGCAACAAACTGTCTAACAAATATTCTGTACATTTAGCGTGCATCAAATTAGCTGTGAGATTCTAAACTCCATGATAACTGCACCAGAATTGGAGTCATCACTGTTTCTTTGGACAAGGTGTGAAAGTTGTCCCTTATTCATCTGCTGTGTGGCTCATTCAGATCCTTAATTAGTTTAACCATGACAGCCTGAAGGGCCATTTTAACCGGACTGGGCAGGAACTGAATCAATGACCAGATGGCTGCAGAAGCACCCTGACCAGAGTCAACGTCTCCGTGTCTGAAATCTCACAAACTAACAAACTATAGTTCACAATTTAAAAAAAAAAACTAAGGCCTGTCTTTTATTCCGCTCAATTTTTTTTTATCGTTTAAAAAAACTCTAGTTTCCCCAGATCTAAACAAAAATAATACAAAATGTAGAAGTGCATTGCATTACTAAATATCCACTTTACCTTTGGTTTCTTTTTAGGTCTTTAGTCATTCCCAACCCTCTTTCCCTTTTGCACCCCCCCCCCCCACACACACACACACACACACACACACACACACAATGAGAGTGTGTGCTCACTGATAGACTTACCCAGTATGAATAGTTCCTTCCTAAAGCCCATTTCAGGAGCAGTCTGTTCCCACGCTGGAATTTTCTTTGAAACTATCAGGCTTGTAAATAGTTTTAATGTATTTTAACAAAATCTGAGCCCCTCCCTCTAAAAAGAGTCCAAAGTTGACAGAAATCCAGAGATAGCAACAGGAGAACGTGCTGATCTCCTGTCTTGGTTGTGGATCTTTCTACAGAAGTGGGAGTGAACTAGTCTCTCAGCCTGTTCACGCCCGGCTGCCTGATTCCCCTCCCTCCCCGTCTCTCTCTCTCTCTCTCGCTGCTTTTGTTCCTGTCTCTCTTCCCTCCTCTCGCTCTAATCTCTGTGGACGTTTTCAGTCACTTCAGGTTTCTCCTCATGAACACGTTTGTCAGACTGGAGCCGTATCGCATTGCTTTCACCTCACAAATCCCCCCTTTGCTCTTTCTCTTCCACGTTTCCCTCTTCGCTTCGGTGACCCCTATTTCAGGAGCTATTAACAACTCTCAAGAGAGGTGGACAAAAAATGGAGGGGGCGATGAGGGATAAGAGGGCCAGAGAAGAGCAGAAGTTGATGACTATTCTCAGTATAAACAGCTGCTGCTGCACTTTGGTTTTAATCACAATCTCCTCCAGCTTCTACCCCCCTTTTCCTTCTTTCCCTGCTCAGAGTTCAGCCCTTCACCCATTTTCCAAGCCAAAAGATTATGCATGTTCTAAACCCCCCAAAGAGAAAGAAAACTAGAGACGGAAGTAGGGGGTGACCTCCACAAAAAGAAGAGGACATGAATTTGATCTGCAATACACTTCTGCAGAAGAAGAAGAAAATGTCATTTCTATAGCGCCTCTCAAGATAAAAATCACGAGGCGCTTCACAAAAACAAAAAATGTAAAAATATAAAAAAGTATTTAGAAAATATTTAAAAATGTATTTAAAATGAGCAAAAATAGTCAATTGTGATTTAAAAATGTTAAGAAAGAGAGAGAGTAAATAGGAAAGAGGGAAATCAGTGGATCCTGGGGAAGGTTGAATAGGTGGGGAGAGCAGAATAAAGAGAGAGAGGCGAAGAAGGTCATACAAAAGCCCGCTTTAACAAGTGAGTCTTCAGCTGCTTTTTAAAGGAGACCGCTGAGTCCACTGATCTCAGGCTCAGGGGGAGAGAGTTCCAGAGTCTGGGGGCCACAGCAGCAAATGATCTGTCACCTTTGGTCTTTAGCCTGGTGCTGCACAACCAGTAGGCTTTGATCACTGGATCTCAGGGACCTGCTGGGGGTGTAGGGACTAAGAAGATCACCAATGTAAGATGGTGCTTGTCCATGTAAGGCCCTATAGACCAGAACCAGGACCTTGAAATGAACCCTGAAGTTGACTGGCAGCCAGTGAAGCTGGAGGAGAAGCGGGGTGATGTGGGTGTGTTTGGAGGACTTGGTCAGAAGCCGAGCACAGGCGTTCTGAACCACCTGTAGACGGTTCAGGTGCAGTAAACTATGATTCAAACAAAGATGTGACATTTAACTTTCAGAGCTGACTGATGAACCCCGAGAATCCACGGCACCCAGAGTAAAATATTTTCTTTATCAGAGAAGAGCTTCCTTTGTTAATAAGACAAACCCAAACTATCTTCTCCACATTTACAAGTCGAGGAAATAAATCAGCCCAGATTCAACCTCTGCCTGCCTCCTATTAAAAACAGCTGTAACAGTCTGACATAAACATTCATCAGAGTCGATCTCAACCTGCTGAGCTGCTGAAAACCAATGTCTGCCTCTGCTACTTCTATGGAGCTCCATGAAAACAAACAAAACTCCTCATGGGGCCACTTTTTACTACAGTACAATTAGTGCTCTGAGTCCAATTAGTTTGACCCATTTGTTTATTTTTGTGGTCTCATTTTCCTGGAATTGCTCACACATTTGAGAATTATGATGGAAAGGAAGAAATGCAGGAATTAGTTTCATTTTTTCCAAGGTGGAATCAGCTGATGGTATTTGAGCTGAGCTGCGGTCCGCCCACGTCTGGGGGCAGGATTGAGGTGTGGCCACCAGCAGCCTCGAATTCTGGAAACAGTAAACCAAAATCCATAACATCTCACCCAATATCCCAAACATCACATTTTCAGGTCAAAATGAAGCTCTGCGTTCAAAACCGTTCACTCTTGCTGAAAAACCAAACTTTGCCCACAGACATCACACACACACACGTCAGAACACTCACACTACAGCAGAGTCGCACACATTGGTGCAATAAATTAAAAACAATATTTGCAAAAATGGAAAGTTATGTTGCTTGCGGTTGGTTGTTCCCCACGAAAACCTTTTCACGTGATCAACATAAAAGACACAAATAAAGTAAATACGGTGGTACATTTTCATTCATGCACCACACAGCACAACACACACCACAAACATTATTCCACCTCAACATCTTGTCTTTGGTCCGGGTCAGGCCAGAGAGTCTCATCCACATCGCAGGCTATTGGCTCTAGCTGGGGGGGGGGGTTCTGTTGATGAAGGCAACAGTGAAGCTGGACTCTTTGCCCCGCCTCCCTCATAGTCATACCATGGACATGGACTTGGTCAACTAAAATGGCTCAAATTTCATCCGAGACACTTGTCTCCTTTCCCTTGCTAGCTTGCTGTAGAGTTTTGCAGTAACAGCTCACCAAATCTGACTCATGTGTTCAAGCATGGGATAGTATGTATGGTTCAGAAAAAGGGTGTGCGTTTTGAAAAATGGCATTATGGTTTTGGAATTTGAGTTCAAAAGGTTGGTTATGGTGTTTAACTAACCCCCAGAAACCCAAATTTAGAAAACAACTGCAAAATCTTTTTTTTAACCTTTCACATGCTGTTCTAGGAGGCCAGATAAATGGGCCTATTTACACATTTTAACAGCCAATAGTGTTGCAGAACTGAACAATAGGACCTGTTGGCAATGTAAATGTGGTTTTAAAAAGAAAAAAAAATGGGGAAGGTTAATTTTTGTAGACTTAATCTGATGTTGTAATATTACAACCGTGGGTCTCACAAGAAAAAGAGTAAAAGATGGGAAATAGTGTCCAAAATATCAAATAAACTTCTGCAGGCCATATACAGTATAGACATCATAACATCCACATTTGGACCTGTAGGTGGTTCGTCCCTGACCTGAGACATTTCCATTTCCTCCCTTTAAGTTCTATTCATTAAACTTAGAGGCCATCTTGAATCTAGAACAGTCGACATGTTTAGGACATACAAAATGTTTCAAACACTTTGATGTTCCAAACGCCAAAGTTTACTCTAAAGCTACAACTTTATAGCAAGGGTCACTGTATAAATAAATAAAATATATCAAAGTGCACAAAAAGTCTGAGTACTTTAAAAAAAATGAGTCCTAGTCACACTTTCTTAATATTAAGCCAAACCTAATATTTAAATACCTTGTACAGTTTTTATTTCCAGTTCCTCTCCAATTGTTTCATAGATTGGCACAATTAGTTTAATGTTAGATTAGTACCACAGAGCATTTGTGTGCAGGGCACCCAAATGGCTAGCACCGGCTCCGCACAAAGATCATTTCGTAACATAAGTGACATAAGTATTTCAGAATTTAACATTGAACTTTATCACTGCTTGATAAACAACTAGCAAAGGGAGTTTAATTGTAAAGTTTAAAACATTTATTGTACTTAATACACGTTTATAAATTATTGTAAAGTTGTAGATAGTTGTGGTTAGTGTTATAAGAGATTTTTATATGTTTAAAAATGCTTAATAACAGTTTGTGCAATCACACAATGTGCACCGATCAATTTTACAGAAACTGAGCAAGCATTTACTTTTAGCTGTAGGTCAGTTACCACACTATTGCATGAGATTTCCTGTAACGTTTTTCTTTCAGGTTTAACCAATACAGCTTCGACTGCATCAGTTCACTGAATGTGATGAACGTGGTGTAAATGTGAGGAAGTTAGTGATATGTTTTGCACCATTTTGTTGTCTTTACCTTTACACCAGTAATTACCTGAGCAATATTTAGACTAGTCCCAATGCATAAAGAACTTTTAAATTTTTTGTCAATTATCTGAATTTAATTAAGACAGTTTTATACTCTAGGATGTGAAAATCCTCACGTCCAGAAAATAACAGCAGAGGATGTCTCTGCTAGTTTACGCTAACCATTAGCATTAGCAACTCCACCACACAGCAGAAGCTCTTCCCGATATATATATTATTTGTAAAGATAAAACATCCACTTTGCAAGTCAGTAGTGGAGTTGTGTTGCTGTTATCCAATTCGGGGCAAGATGTCCAAATATGAGGAAATAAGACTTGTCTGAAGCTCAGCTGAGATGTGGGTGACTTTTAGGTCCCCCCCCCCCCCCCCCCCCCCCCCCCCCCCCCCCCCCGAGAATGACTTACAAGGACTTCCTGCTAGAGATCACTGCAAATTTACTGACAAATTTTAAAAATGGTTGATCCCATTTCCTTCTGGCAACATTTCTATCATTCGTACAACAGAATCAGCTCAGCTCATGTGTGATTTTAACTAAACTTAAGATATTGTTACCAGTTTAACAAAATAATTTTTAAGTATTCTGACAATTACCTTTAAATGTAAGGTTTCCACTGCTTTTTGGACCACCACCTCATCAAAGTGGAGGAGCTTGATTGCCCCAATGTCCCCAGGAGGTGTGTTGTTCAGGCAAGGGCGTCAGTTTATTTTCAGAATTGCTGGGGACAATAACCATACACTTGAGTGGGGCTTAAAAATTGCTGGGGACAATAAAGTAGGCTAGCACAGGGGTCGGCAACCCGCGGCTCCTCCATCCATCTGATGCAGCTCCCTGTGCTTGTAAAATAATGAATGGATATTTAAATAAAATGCTTTATATTTTACGGCATTAATTTTACATCTGTATGCCAATTCTAAATGTAAAGATTGTCTGCGTAAACCTGAACAGTTCCAACCCGGTCGTACTGTGAGACCGGTCATATGCGCTTCTGAGCTGCTTTCTGACCTTCCCCACCTACAAAGTTTAATTACAACAATCAAACGTGACAGAGCCTGGATTTGTATTCTGAACAGTCTAAACATGTTTTAAAAAGAAACGTATGACAAAAGGGGCACCTGCTCGGTAAAATATTATTGAAGGCAGAGACGGGCTACAGCTTCTGGACCCACTTTATTTAATCGTTTTATTGATTATCGTCTTATGAAAGATAACTTTGACGTACACCAGCGATCAGGCGCG